TGCAAATATCGGTTTGTAATGTTTATCCTGAGATATGAAACGAAATGGATACGCACACTTATTTTGGGAATTAATTTTTTGACTTTTTTTGTGCGGAAATTTCAAAAACACTGACAGATTAAAATATTATAACAGCCAGAAAAGTAAAATTCAGACAAGTATGTTGTTTATGTATTAAATTTGTAGAAAGATTATAGGAAATTTCTCGACATATGCTTTGACGGATGATAAATTAATTGTCAATTAAATTCGATATCAGAAATGAGTACACTGCAAAACAATGAATTATGTCATAAATAAGAACATTGTGTCTTTTGCGATCGTTTTATTCGTTTGCTTACTCCACCTGAATAATGTTTTCGGTGAATTTTTATTTAATGTCCGTTAAACTTGTTACTTAAGCAGTAACAAAAATAATTATTAAAAGTATTTTTGACGAAATAAATGACATAAACATTTAGAAATTAATTTTCTATTTTTGAATTGTTTTGACTGTAATGACCTACGATACGTGAAAGACTACGGATGGATAATTAATATTAACTTTTTTAATTTAAAGATATTTTAACACAATGAGTTTAACATGAAATCATTCCTTGATAATCGTTAAACAAATTAATCTATGAATCGTGTAATTCATTTTAATTTCTATGTTACCCCACCTTCATTCAATACTTCCGCTTCACTCAATTCCAAGGATGATTTAGACATGATGTCAATAGCGCTGTTAATAGAATTTTCGTCATCTTCCGACGATTCATAGCCCAGTTCATCCTGTTCGTAAATCGTTTCTCCGGCCAACGTATGAAACTTTAAATATGCAAACGCACTTTTCAATTGTCTTCTTTTGCGTTTGAAAGATGTTATTTCAACCTCAGACAAGCAAAAATAGAATCCCTCAATGTCTTCATCGGAATCCTGTAAAAAAGTGAAAAATTCTGATTTTTGATAGAATAATTTTACAGTAATCGTTAAACAAATTAATCTATCAATCGGATAATTCGTTGTAATCTCTTTGTGACCTCACATTGATTTAATTCTTTCACTTCTTCACTTAATGCAAATGAATATTGGGTAGAGACGTCAGTATCGCTGTTTGTACAACTGTCGTCATCGTCCGACGATTCATGGTCTATTCCCAATTCATCTTCTTCGTAAATTGTTTCAAAGAATGGAATTTTAAATATGCAAAAGCTCTTTTCAATGGTCTTCTCCTGCGTTTAAATGGAGTAATTTGCTCCTCAGATAAACAAAAATAGAACCCTTCTATGTCCTCAGAATCCTATAAAAAAGTGACAAATTCTGATTTCTGATAGAATAATTTTACAGTACTCGTATTTTTTTATTAATTGACAAAAACTTTCATTTATAAACTTGAACCCATTTTAATTAACACATTCTATTAGATTTGTATTGCTGTCATGGTTCTTTAATTTTACACCTTTAAATGATAAGAGTTTTTAGATTACTTTTAATTATTTCGATTGAATTGTAACTTACAAAAGAGGACAATTCACTTTCTTCCAAGTTATCAGCACTTTCTTCGCATTTTACTTCTGTGATTCTTGTTCTTATTGCAGGTTCGTTGATGGGAATAACATTTATATTTCTATCGAAATCGTCTGCACCAACACCTTTTAGATCAGACAGGGAACATTCAAGTTTATTGTCTACGTCTATTTGATTATCAGAGACTACAGAATAAAAGTACACACAATAAACACAGCAACTCGTAAACTTTTCTTCGCGTGAATTCAATAATTATATAAGAATTTGAAAGAGAGAAACAAAGGAAATGACAAATAGTTTACAGATGAAATTCTTATTGTCGAAAAATATATTTTAAAAATTTAGTAAAAGTCTATTATTGTCACCAAGCATGAATATTGCCATTTTGATTTGACATTATTAATTACATAGAAAGTGTAAATTGTTTTGTTCATGAAGTCAAATGAAAATGTAATATACTGAAAAATACCTGGTCGAAATAAACTGGATGTTTATTGACGTATACTCAGAATCTTAGTTAATCTCCCTTGATCCAATTCAATGAATATTCTGAGTAAAATGTGTTTTAAATATTCAATTTATAGATTATGTAACTGCAGTATCGACAATAGCTGTTTACATATCAATAAGAACATCTAAAGTTTGAAGTGACGGTACATTGATTCCACTCTACTTCTATCTTGTGTCCATACACTTTGTTTATAATATTAATTTATCGTTAATTTATGTTTATGTATTTGAAACAATGTGTATATTTTCTATGATTTGTAGGTTTTTAATTCAGATATTGGCTATACAATATCAGGCACAAAGGATAAACCTCTGTTTTCCTTTTTGTTTCTACCCAGAAAACAGCCATGTCACTTATTTCAGTTCATGTAAATTTGTCAATATTATTTGTTAATTGTATTCTCATATTTCTATCTAATTGAATACTGTAAATTAACGACACATGCCGTTAATGTGCTGATAGTTAAAATGTGAGGAGCATTGGACTGATGGTAATGAAGAATTTGTTTCTTTATCAGGAATTATTTCTTCCAAATGCTCATTTTCGAGCATTTCTCCTACCGATTGATTTTCTGCAATATCTGACGGAGGGTCGCCCTTCTCTCCGTCCACAAGCCATATTGATAGTATTGGGCAGGTGGCCCATATTGAGGCCTCTGCCTGGCATGCTAAAGAATTAAACATAAAATTGATTAATAATAACAATTTCAAATGTCACATTTATCTTTTATTTGTAATAATAACTATTGTTAAGTGTTATTTCCTTTATAATAGATATTGATTATTTGCCTTATGAAATACTAAAACACAATAATATTCAACAGCAGTAATTTATGAAGTAAGTAATTATTTTAATGTGCAAAAGTAAATGTATCTATCCAATTTATTTACAATAATTATTTATTACTACAGAAACACTTGATAGAATTCTTACATATTACGACTGATTTATTACTTGTAATTTTTTATTTTTTTGGCAAACAAAACAAAATAAACACCGCGTAAACGTCACGTCAATGTTTAAAAACTTTCTATTTAGCTTACGTATTTAAAAAGTAATTTGCAAGTGTTCTTTATTATTATTGTTAATATTTTGTAGTTTATCGAACCCATCTTGTGTAATTTACGGCAAATTGTATTAAATATGTATATATATATTTTTTTTTAAATATTGTTTCAAACATTGTGGTTTGTTTTGTAAACAATATCATGTTTTAGATAATGAATTTTAATAACACAATTCCAAAATGTGTACATAAACGTGAAATTGTTATGTTACACATTTACATATCGATATTGTACATTCATAAAGACAAATACCTCATTGAGTAGACTGATCTACAATAAATTGTCAGAAAATATTTTTGTTCGTATGTAAATTGCAAGCAGCCTTTATAAAAAATGCAGCCATCTATGATGTAATGTTTAGAATATTTCTGAAGATATTTACTAGATTTGGAAGAGTATTTGAATAAAATGTTAATTCATATTATTGTTACTCATTTATGGACTTTGTCTTCTATATGCAGTTCTGCATGTAATCTACAATGTACTCACTGCTGTTCACTTATGTTTTTTTTCCCTGTATTCATTTTCTTCTACTCGTAATTTTGTGGATTTGACGTCGCGCGAATACTTTGTTTTACTAAAGTATAGTATAATTTTATTTTATTTAATNAGTAATTTGCTCCTCAGATAAACAAAAATAGAACCCTTCTATGTCCTCAGAATCCTATAAAAAAGTGACAAATTCTGATTTCTGATAGAATAATTTTACAGTACTTGTATATTTTATATTAATTGAGAAAATTTTTCATTTATAATAAATGAACAACTTGCAGTCATTTTAATTAACACATTTTATTAGATCTGCATTGTTGTCATGGTTTTACGATTTTACACCTTTAAATGATAAGATTTATTAGATTATTTTTAATAATTTCGATTGAATTGTAACTTACAGAAGAAGAGAACTCCATTTCTTCAGGGTTATCAGCACGTTGTTCCACATTTCACTTCCGTAATTCTTATTTCCATTTGAGGTTCTTCGGTGGGAATAACATTCAGATCTTTATCGAAATCGTCTGTTTCCTGAAAATAACATAAACATTTCGTAAATGAAACATGAAAATCAAATTATATCAAATATTGGTTCGAAAATAACACTGCGAAAGTAATGCAAGCATGATTACAATAAATAATGAAAAATAATGTATATTTAAATCTTTTAAATGAGTTGAAAAATACCTATTTGAAAAACTCGATTTGACTTCTTTAAATGGATAAATATGAAAACTAAATTTATATGCCAAACATTTACAAAAGGGCTTTAATCAAATTAAACGGATTTTGGAAACGACAAGCAGAAATGATTAAATGTTCGCTTGTAACGCAAAATTCTCCAATATTTAAATACAGTATCTTAATTTGTCTTTTTCTAACTTTGACCATTCTCAAAGTAATATTTAATGCGTATCATCATTTATTTTTTTTCAATTTTGAACATATGCTTAATAACTATAATGATTTCGCGCTATTATTTAAAGTGTATAGAATCATTGGAGACACAGCGAAAAATACGAAAATCTTAAATATTAAAAGTAAAAGTTTAGCAAAAACGACAATAAATATATAAGTGTAAAGTAAGGAATATTAAAAAATATTTTTTTACTCCATTATCATCATCATCATCGTCATCTGCCACGAATTCATTTTTGGATAGAGATCCATCAGCATTTTCTCTTTCTTCCGATCGAATTATCTCTCTATTTTCCTCCATCGTCTCTTTCTTTTCATTAGTATCTACAAAGTAATCATTTAACAGTTTAACTTTTCGTAATCTTATATCATAATGCGTAAACCTATTCAAACACATTCATTATAAAAAATTTAACCCAGCTAATAAGTTAACATAGAAATACATGTGGAGAGCGGAACGCCATCTGCCGGCGAGACGACGAGAGCGGGACGAGACGCGACTTCGCGAAACGACGGTTGAAGAAGAACGCACGAAAAGACGGAAGACGAAAAGGTAGTCCTACATTTGTTTTTTTTTTTTTATAATATTCACAAAATTTTTATGTAATTTGTATTCTTTAAACGTTCCTGTTACCCAAACCTTTCTTATCTCAATTAAAGTTATTCAAAAAACGTCTCACAGAAGTGGGGGCTCGTCCAGGATAGGAATAGGCTTGGATGTGGATTAGGCTTAACTCGAAGAGATTCGACGAACTGCGCTTTGGTTTTGTGAGTTCGCTGGACATTTACGGACATTTCTGTTTTTGTGAAAATTTCGACGTTGGAGATTCCGAATACGTCGGCATTACGGAAGAACTTCGAGTTACGTTTCGGCAAACCGTGAGTAGTTCTAAAATTCTACTTTTAAGATGGCGACGCTCGTAGAAATTATCGGCGAAACGTTAAAGTCGGCCTCGACATTTTCGATAAAATTGTGGCATCGACTCGTATTCGAAGAAGTTGGAGATAGAAATAACAGAAAAAGATTGAGAACCTTTGCTGGATTCAATTTTCCATCCAAAGAGGACGAAAACCTAAAAAAGAAAGTGCAATATATTAATGAGAACTGTCGATTAAACGACCTAGTTGTTTTGTGCAACTTATTAAATGTTCAGTATGACGGTACTAAAGACGAAATCGTCGAAAGGCTTGTTCTTTCTCTTTCTGATTTAAAATCATTACAATCAAATCTGATCTTGGCAGACGTTGATACCGAAGACGAAGATATATTAGAAGTTCAAAGTGTTGCCGATGATCCACCTAGCAATAATTGTCTGCGCGTTTCGGATATGACTAAACTTTCCGTTAACTTTCGTGACGTGAAAAATGTAATCAAACCTTTCGATGGTAGTGAATATTGTTCTATCGATAAATGGCTGGTTGCATTCGAAGACTTTGCTAAAATGATGACTTGATCTGATTTACATAAATTTATATTTGCAAAACAATCCTTAACAGGGTTAGCGAAATTATTTGTTGAAAGTCAAAGCGGTATTAATTCCTGGGATAAATTGAAATCGGAATTAAAAGCGGAATTTGGTAGTAAATATAACTCAGCTTGATTGCACGGTATGTTGGCTAAACGCCAAATTCCCCCCAATTAATCTGTGCAAGAATATTTCTTTAAAATGCGAGAACTCGCTAGTCGTGCAAAAATTGAACCTGACGGGTTGATCGAATGTATTATTTCTGGTATACCTGACATACCCAGCAACGAAGCGATGTTGTATGGAACAGATAATTTGACAGAATTTCGTGAAAAGTTGAGAGTGTATGAGAAAATCCGGTCTACGTATTCTCGTTCGTTTCAGTCTAAACCGAATCTACCTACGGAGCATCGAAAACCCCAGCCTTAACGAAATAAACGTGACAGTAAAACTCTCAAATGCCATAATCAAACCTAGCTGTTCAGATTATGCTGCGCCAATAGTTTTATGCAAAAATAAAAATGGCAAAATTAGACTGTGCGTCGACTTTAGAAAGTTGAATCGTAAAACGGTCAGAGATCACTTCCCCTTGCCTTTGATTGAGGATGTGATAGGTCGTTTGGAACAGTCAAAAGTGTTCTTGTCGCTCGATTTAAAAAATGGATTTTTCCATGTTGACATTGATGAGAAATGTAGAAAGTTTCGTTACACACGAGGGCCAGTATGAATTTTTAAAGGTTCCTTTTGACTGGTGTAATAGCCCAAGTGTATTTCAACGTTATATTTACCATGCGTTTAGACCATTGTTACAAGATAAAACTGTAGTAATTTATATGGATGATATCCTAATACCGTCATCAAATGCACAGGAAGGTTTAGAAAAATTGAAGCNATATTTTGTAGTTTATCGAACCCATCTTGTGTAATTTACGGCAAATTGTATTAAATATGTATATATATATTTTTTTTTAAATATTGTTTCAAACATTGTGGTTTGTTTTGTAAACAATATCATGTTTTAGATAATGAATTTTAATAACACAATTCCAAAATGTGTACATAAACGTGAAATTGTTATGTTACACATTTACATATCGATATTGTACATTCATAAAGACAAATACCTCATTGAGTAGACTGATCTACAATAAATTGTCAGAAAATATTTTTGTTCGTATGTAAATTGCAAGCAGCCTTTATAAAAAATGCAGCCATCTATGATGTAATGTTTAGAATATTTCTGAAGATATTTACTAGATTTGGAAGAGTATTTGAATAAAATGTTAATTCATATTATTGTTACTCATTTATGGACTTTGTCTTCTATATGCAGTTCTGCATGTAATCTACAATGTACTCACTGCTGTTCACTTATGTTTTTTTTCCCTGTATTCATTTTCTTCTACTCGTAATTTTGTGGATTTGACGTCGCGCGAATACTTTGTTTTACTAAAGTATAGTATAATTTTATTTTATTTAATTATAATTTTATGGATTTTATCCATTAATTTAAAGTTCTGCATGGAATCTACAATGTACATAATTTTGTTTACATTTCCTGTATTTTATTTCCTTGGTAGTGCTCATAGCGGAGCCAAGGTATGCATTTATGCCTCCGTAAATAAATTGAATTGTTACTCATTTATGTTAAATTTGTATTTAACTTACTTAAGCAGATGTTATTGCTATTTGATAATTATTAACTGTATTTTTATGTTATAGATTATAATTAAATCAACTTACCTCAAAATTAAAATAATCCATGTAATTTTCATAAATAAAATACCTTCCACGAAAGAAATATTCGCCACCTGAAAACAATCATTTTATTATTTTAAATACAAATTATTATTCCTACTTAATGAAATTAAAAGTAATGTCAAAGAAATTAACATCATAAAAATGTTGTTATAATTTCTAATGTTAACTTTTTTATACATTGAATAAAATGGAAGATTTAAATTTTTGAAAAGATGAAGAAATAAATTGTTGTTCATTAGCAGAAAATACGTTTAACGTTCGAATTGTCTCAAGCAGAAAATGACTGCAAAGTTAAATATCGTTAATGACACTAAGAAATATCTGATTGTAATTTTCGTGTTCCTAATAATTGATGTTAGAAATTTTCTATTTACAATAGGTGACAGTTTCTGTTTAGAAAGTATTTAATGAATTAAAGTTAAGTACGAAAGTGTGCTTGGTGCTTGTTAACTGATAGCTTTAACTGTTTTTCTCTGTTATGAAATTCTAATGACTAATTTAATTGGAAATGTTTTCAATGTAATTACAAAACTATAAAGATTCAGAAATATTGCAAGAAATTTTTGAACGTAAAACAGAAAATAAGAGCTTGCTTCAACTCGAAAATAAATATAATTACATACGTTTATTAATGCGATTAATAGTCTATATATTAGATTTTTCTGGAATTCAACGGAGAGAATGTATTCGCTATCAACGTATAAGATTCTTATGAAAATTTTAAAACATTTGGTAGAAAATTACTATTAAATTTGTGTTTTTTTATCACGAATACGTTAAAAAAGAGTTAAACTATGTTTTTACAGTGGCGTACCGTCATTTGAAGCGGTGGATGCGCCGCTTCCCTTGTATTTTATAAAAAATACAGTAGAACCTCGATTATCCGTATTGTTCAAAATAAACAAAAATTTTACCAATTGCTGATTTGCACTTGGCGAAATACGATACTGTTTATGTACGTGATGGAATGCATAACATTTTTTGTTTCAACAACGTCTTAGCCGGCACAGTGGCCGTAAACTCTTAAATATATTTTGCGTCGTAATAAAAATGTAACTTGACATACGTATTTATAAATAATTTATATTCAAATTACATCATTTTTATGACCAAGGGCGGCGTAAGGCATGGGCAACGTGGGCCACCGTCTATGCCGAAGAGTATCGCGTTTCGAAGGTTTATGCATTACTTAAAAACCGCGAACGCGACCAAAAAATTTTACTCGTCATAAAACGATAAATAGTTCGTCAAATTTTTATTCATAAAAGTGCAGTTTCAACTGCTTTTTATTTTATAAAATCCGTCTTCTTGCACCACCAGAGGACCTTTTAAACAATAGGTAGTCTGTTAGCGTTGGTCAGTAGTAGACCAAACTCAATACAAACATTTGTTTCTTGAAAATTTGATAACGATTTAAATGCAGTATTTATTTTTAATATTATCGATATGTCATCGAAAAGAAAACGTGTTGTATTTTCATTAAAAGACAAAGTATTTGTTTCGATTATCCGAATTTTTCATTATCCGGAATACCTTCATCCCCAATTAGTCCGGATAATCGAGGTTCTACTGTACATATTAATTTTAATTACAGTCGACCCCCCTATAATTACGATTCTTATAAAACTGCGAAAAAAATGTGACGGTATCCGTAAAAAAAAGGTAAAACAAACTCCTATAATTACGTAAAACGTCATCGGGCAGCCGAACTACTTTCCCGCCGTCCGTAGCGCCACGCTACGGAGAGATTTCTATCGTCTGGACAGTATTATATAAATTATATATAAATTAGGTACTGTACATATAATTATATATTAATTATATATAAATTAGGTACTGTATATATAATTATATATTAACTTATTGTAACTTTGTTATAATTAAATATATAATTTCCGCCGTCTAGCGTGGCGCCACGCTACGGAGATTTTTACGCTAACTATCGTCTGTCAGTATGTAAATTAGGTACCGTAAGTCTAATACAGTACTGTAATTTTATACATTTCTTGTGAAAGAAACATTTCTTATTCAACGGCGATTAAAATTATTTATATTAATGATGTCTCCGAAGTTCTACGAAGTTTTCACAGAAAAATAAGTTGTTAGAAATCGGCCGCTCTTTGCTGAGCTGTTCCGCGACGAAAACAATGTTGAGCAATGGCAATGTCGAATGGTGACACTCGGTAAGTAATCCTACAATTTTTTGTTTATAGCGTAGTTTATACGGATTATTCCCAAAAAATATATACGTATTTTGGAAATGTTGAGTCGGATTAGTCTAGAATCGATTAATTTTATGGAAGAAAATCTTTCAAACAGCCGTAGTCCGTAAACTTGACACGTGTCGGGCTGTGATTGGAAGGACTCGTAAGAAATCGGATTCCTAAAGAATGGAACATATCTATGATCTTATAGGGGGTCGACTGTATATGAAAATAATCGCACAATATTTTATTATAACCGCATTATGTATCTTATTACAAATTTCTACACTACACGTGAAAAAAAAAGATTGCTATTGTATATTTGAATATTAGTGGCGGAGTGGAATCTCTCTGTATTGTCAGATTCCAAAAAGCCAGATTTGCGCACGCGCTTTACAGAGCACCAACCTCACCCGGTTTAGCCGGTAAAAGCCTACGACCTTGGGTCGATGCTACACATATAACGCTTCCAATTCTATCCGAGACCGGTTCTGGGCTGTTAGCCGCCCGCCCGCTAGATATTTGGCCGATTACGTGAATAACGAGTAGATTTATAACTTAACCCAACCGATAAGAATTTACTGGTATGTTTTTACGATAGTTCTGTATAGTTGACAGGAGTTAAAAAATCCATTAAAATATTTGATATATTTATTCCGCTCTCCGATTTTATAGTACTCGCGGATTTCAATGTTAAAATTCGGTGATATTACGATTTCTATGTCCCATCTTTAAGAGGATGTAGGATTCTTGTACAATGTTAAAAAATTAACCGTTACTTCGACAGCGTCATTTACAACTAAATTTAAGGAATGAGAGAGATGCACGAGATACAGAAAAAGCTCTAAAATCTATTTTCCTTAAATTTACGATTTACGTATCCGTTTGTCATAAAAATTTGTCTTCCCACTTTTTTCCCGAGACTACAAATAGTCGAGTACAAAGTAACCGGTTTCGACTTATTTCTACTTAAGAAGTAGTTAAATAATTAAGCGATTAGTGAATTGGGGACGTAAACAAAACCCTGACGAAAGAACCGGAATTTTACTTAAACAAAAGCTTAACCCCGCGTTTCTTTATGTAGCGAGAGTGTAGCGAAATGACGTCACAAGCAGTGTTGACCAATTAGAAACAAGTTTCAGTAAAGCGCTGCCTAAAGAAACGCGGCTTAACCGACCAATCTATAGCCGAGTACAGTGGGGACCGATTTCTTCGAAATACTGTATTAGATGTAATAAAGACAGAAATTTTTCCAGTTCGACGAAAGTGACCGAAAAGTTGTACATTTTGGAAATATCCGTGGACAACACCTGGTCCTAAAATGAATTAGTTAGAAAACAAAAGACGGACTACAGCTATGATGAGAAACGTTTAAAATTTACAACAACCCTGTCGCGTCCTTTGAGATATACTAGTGATGAGACAAAAGAGACATTAACCGGTATCGGCACCCTCGGGATTTGGCATGCATGCACGCACCGCACACCTACCAAGATCGTCTCTGATTCCATCCACGAGTCACTGATAGGGAGCACTTTTAACTAAGTGGATTGTTTTAATATTTAAAAAGTAAAGAATATCTTATGCTATTTTTATGTACGTTTCTTCACAAAACTATATTCATACAATCAAATATTTTGTACCAGGTATGTATAATTGTATATCGATCACACATTTTATTTTAACGAGTAAGTTTTTATAATTTTATTTTTAATTTTAGCCCTTATATTATAGCTAGCAATTTAGAATGTAATTGTGATAATGTATTTAAAATTTATTTCAAAAAGTTTTGGCTCGAGACCTTATAATGAAAAAGAAAACATTATTAAAAGAGAAAGACAATGCCTAAATTAAATATAAATACGTCAACAAAAAATTTGTTCGACGTTTTCACGATAAAATTTATGAAGATATAAAATGGCTCTGTGGATGCGTAAAAATACAAAAATTGTTTTGTTGGCCTTGCCTACTATTTTCAAATGAAATTAGTGTGTGGAATAAGATTGGCTTTGACGATTAAATAATTTTAGTAAAGCTGGCAAAAGACACGAAAATCCTAAATCTCGCATCGAATCTTTCGTAAAATAGAAGCAATTTGGAAATCAAAATATAATAGAATTTGACATTAGTACACAATATAAAATATATATTGAAAATTATAACGAGATAGTTACGACTAATAGATATAGTATATTTTAATTATTAGATGTTATCGAAGCGAGAATTGGCATTTAGAGGGCGTAGAGAATCTATTAAATATAATATACAGTTGTCCCTTGATAATCCGACAGGTATGGGACCAAAGGTGTGTCAGATTATCAAAAGTGTCCGGATTACCGAAAATAATTACATATTTCGCATTGTTTTGCTAGCAGTAACTTACAATATTCTCTACTCCAACTGTTCGAACAGAACTGCTCACATAAAACACACGAAATGTGTGTCATCGAGTAAGAATTGGATGGGGAGATTCACATCGCGACATGCTTCTGTGCAAGCAGACACGTAACGGGGACGGGTACCTTGACGGGAGGTGCGTCGGACTACTGAGCATGTCGGATTAAAAAACGTCGGACTATAGAGGGACAACTGTAACAGAGTTAATTATATTGAACTTGCTTATTTATTAAGTGCGTTAGATAATCTATTAATTAAAAATACATTTAGAGAAGTCTGCGGTTTTTACTGGCTTATCGAACAAACGAATACGAAGGACCCTAGACCAGTGTTTCTCAACCTCTAACGAATCGTCGCCCCTTCAACATAGTATCGCCCCCTTCAATAAAACCGTTACCTATCATCGCCCCTTCAATAAAGCCGTTACCTATTATCGCCCCCTTCACTTCAAAATTCCGATGCCGAGGACCAAGACTAACGCCAAATTCGTACTGCATTGAATAGACTTGTGACTAGTATAATGTTGTTTGTTTAATTATTGTACGATATAACGAATAAAATACAGTAGAGCCTCGAAAACTCGGCCTAATGTGGACCGGAGGGTGGCCGAGTTTGTGAAAATGCCAGGTTATCGGGAATGGCGTTAAAAAAATAAGTAGTGTGGAGTCCTCAGAAAATACTGTACTATACTTGTATGTATTGTTTGCTTGAGAATACAACAAAGAATAAACTGCCCAAATATCCTTAAACAAAGGAGAAGTACAGTACGTCTTTTATGAAGGCATAGAGCCTTTACTACATGAAAATGAAAATTAATGAATACACTGTACAGAAATTTACCTGATAAGACAGACCTCAGAAAAATACTTTATGAGGCATAAAGCTGTCTTTATCATGAAAAGTAATTAACTAAGGATTTTTTTGCCCTGCCAGGGTGTGGCCGAGTTATCCGGAGTGCCGAGTTTTCGAGGCTCTACTGTATCTAATTATTCTTAATATAATGTTTTACTATATCTCCCAGAAAATTGTTTTTCGTTCCCAAAATATAAATTGTTACTAATCGCCCCCTCAACATGGAAAAACGCCCACACGGGTTGAGAAACACTGCCCTAGACAATCACTGACTGATTGCCCCTGGAAGTCAGCTTGTTACAAAAACACAGTTTCCCTATCATCAAATGTCACGGCACGCCCCTGTATTTTTATTGTAGAATTATATTAGCTTACTAAAAAAGTTCATCTTTTCGCATTTGAAATACCTTCAGTTAAAAAAAAAAAATCGCTTCGACAATCGCCGAAAATCTATTCTCAACATTTATTTTTTGCGCAACAATGAAAAACTTGCTTACGGCGCGTGCTAAGCATTACGTATGTAAAGTAAATTTATTTTTGGCTTTTCTCCACGTGGTCAGTTCATTCATAATGTGTCAACCCGATGAGCATAGAAACCGTAAATTTGTTACGGTTAAAATTTTTAATTGATTTGATTTAATTAATGGATTAATAATGATTCGTAAATAATCTTTATTAAGAAATATATCAAGGAAGAAAACTATATGAAAAACAGATTAAATTAAAATACTTTTTCCATTACACAGCGGATTTTTTAGCTCCAATACACAATTTTTCAACTAATTCTCTCCACAATCGAATTGTCTTTTGTAAATTCGTTGTCGAATTTTCCACTGTTCATTTTCTTACTATTTTCTATATATGTTACCAATATTTCTTTTTGTTCTTTTTGTTTGTTTTTTAAAATAAAACATTGGAGGTTTCCATTTTGTTTCTGCGTACTATATTGCTATAAGACAAAACTTTCAACCATAACACGTTGGTTTGTTTACATCTTGTCACAGTTAAGTTGATTTGTCGAATCATTATAGTCGCAAACCCAGATGCATTGTAAATAATCCTATCATGCTTAACGACACACGTAAACAAGTGAATATGACCTACATCCGCTCGCCTTCCGAGTTCTCTTGATGGCTCTAACTCGAGACTACCGATTATGCGAGTCATAGTAACACGAGTGAGTTCGATGACGTCAATTCGAGTACAGCACGAAAAACTCGAGACTAAGGGCCCAGATGTTGACCTCAGGAGGAATTGACAAAAACATGGATTTCTCACAACGGATTCGGACAATTTTTCTGTTAATTAACAGAAAGAAAGTTGCTTGAGAAACTGTCATGAAAAATCATCATTATTTTATATTGTCGGTCTTCCTTTCAATTCAGATTGGTACAAGTCACAGTAAGAGAAAAAATAACCTGGCGAATAACTTCCTATTTTGTCAAATAAAACATGTGTTTAGCGAATAGATTGGCAATTACTATAAAAAGCAAACCAGGGCCTCTGCAACGCGTGGGCGATCTACCAAGGGGAGGTGTCGTCTGGGAAGATTTCTATGGGAAACTGGCCACTGGTTAGCACCAATGCAAATGGATACTTTTACTAAAATCAGGAGTCTAGATACCGTATATTATGCGGCCGATTTATTGTAGTAATGCGTTCATGACATTGAAATAAAAGTTATGATAATGTCTATAATGAAGAAAAAATAAATAAAAGTGCATAAATCGCTAATGATTTAAAATTAATATATTTTTTTATTTCTTTACTAATTGAAAGGGATAAAAATAAAATTTATGATTAAAAAAACATTAAAATATTTCAATTATCGAAAATGAAAGAAATTTAATTTGACACAATCGATTACTGTATTTGTATCGAGAGGGCGCGCAGGGTGGCGGTTGGTTTGGTTTATCGCGAAGTAAATACATGTCTATTATAACTGTCCAAATTGGACAATGCGGAAATCAACTCGGTTGGGAATTGTTCAATTCGATTGCTCAAGAGTCTCTAACGGATGGACGAAGTAATTTCAAGACGAAAGAGGCCCATTTTTTAAATGAAAGGTAACATTTATGATGAAGACAAGCTGTCATATAAAGCTTAATAACATGTTCCTGCTATGAGTTTTACAGATTAACGTATTCATTATAGAGAATTTATGAATTCAATTGTCGTTTCGAGTATTATTAAAAACACCTATAAGAATTGCCAGCTTCTGACATTTTGGTCCTATAGCAGAGGCCCTATAATGAATCTTCATCGCGAGCCTTCTAAGACGTTGGTTCCTAAGGTGGGCGGTGAAACGAAGCAAAAGGTGAGAGGGCGCCGGAAGTGAGCCCCCGATCACTGCAGGCACTGCCCGAGAGAGCAGGATACTACGATACGTCGTCTGGATAACTGTAAACAATTTTAAATTGTTTATAGTTATCCAGACGATGTATCGTAGTATCCTGCTCTCTCAGCATTCTCTAACATTCTCATTCGTAATAAAATTACTGGGATATCTTCTGCCACTTTTTATTGCCACGGAGTGCAATAGTCTGTGTAACTTAAGCCCGATGACAAGACGAGATGACCTTTTCCTTTCCTTCGTTAAAATTGGTAAAAAAAAAAAAAAATCATTACGGTTTATTGGTTTTCAGATGTGGAGAACAATGTATGATAAAATGTGAGGTTGGTAGAAAAGTTTTTTTAAGAATTTTTACAAGCCCTTCTCACAAGGGAAAACGTATTGAGAATTTTGGGGTACGGTTGGAAGATGGATATAATTTTATGGAACCTAGGGAGTGGTGGCTCAGAAAATTTTGGGATAACTTTTTTGAGTTATCCCAAACATTCGAGACTTTGACACGTCATCTAATCTTTGTGTGGGCAAACGTGATATTATAGTCACACTTTTCTTAATTTATGTGAAATCTGAAAGAATTTTATATTGAGAACTCTTATATATTACTACTTTCCTTAATTCATAATTTTGTCAGCTTCCTTTAGATTGTAAAAATTAATTTGCATATATAAATGCAAATTAAAATATATAAATTCCAGAATTTATGAATAATATCAAAATATGAAGCTCTGTTATGATGAAAATGTAATTTGAATGTATTAAGAATTCTAATGTTATAAACTTTAAGATTATTATAAATTAAATAGCAAAATATCTAAATATATGTCACAATCTCCCTTTTAAATAATCAGCCATTTAAACATATTTAAATAATTAAGAAAATTAATAAATAATTTCTACGGAAATTAACATCATAAGTATCTCTGATGTTTAATAAGCAAAAATATTCTATATGATGATGAAAACTTTATAGATTAAGATTGTGCTCTTTTTCTAAATAAAATTGCTGCTGGTATGCATATTTGGTGACTAAAAATAAAGTTTTGTTTTAGTAAAAATATATCTAACTAAAAAGAGTGTGTAATGCTACTAATTATTTAGTTTTTCTATACAAATGTATACATTTATAATATAGCAATTATAGTATTTTCCAAATTTTTTGCATATCTTTTATCTGCTTTTTCTTCCCCTATTAGTTATTTTGGATTTAATGTCAGTTGCCCTTTTATGAACTATAATTTTTACCTTTTCATTTCAAAATACTAAAATTTGCACTTCTCCATATTTTGTTTCTTGATAGTGGAGAACATAGTGGAGACAGACAACTTGGTCATATTTTATCACTTTTAATTATTATTATATTATTTCATCTTAATTTATTATTTTTATTATATTATTTTATTATTATTATTATATATGGGGAAGGTTTTTCTTGTCGTCTTGCATTATTTCTGATTGTATAAATAAATGAATACGAATGGTGTGAATTACCAGACAATATTGTTTATTCATTGAAAGATGGCCTCCAATGATAGAAGAGTTTCCACCCATTTGCTTTGTACATCAGTTTCAATTGACTCATGGAATTTGTAATGGAGTTTGATTCTTTTGTTACTAATTACACTAATCACCTGAACATATGGAACTTTTCCTACTAGTTATAGCCAGTATATAGTATTGGCAGTTGCTCAACTGCTGATACTATATACTGGTTGTCAATACTTTTTATGCTGACTTACTGGTATAAAAATGTAAGTACATATTGGAACATTCCAGCTGAAAAATAGCCCTGGATGAAGGTATAATTATTACATAATTGTATTCTTAATTTCTCATTAAGTGTGTTTTGTTGTTTTTTAAATATTTATATCAGCCTGCATAGTTGTCTAATGTTATTTATGTGTGTCGTCTTCTTTCTCAGACAGGCTTATGATTTGTCAGTGTTTTGATTATGTTTGTGATTTTAATTTTAACTATGGTATGATATGTAACTATAGTGACTGCACCAGAACCATGCCAATATTTTGGTGAAATTATTTACAGTTGTGAATTCTCTAGCAAGCTCATAAAATTTACTATTTCATAGTGTCGGTTGTTTATTATAAATGAAATTTCACTTATAGTGGTATTTGGTACATTTCTTTTGCTCTTCATACTACTGGTTTTCAAATTATCTATGTATATGCACATACATAATTTGAAAATCAGTAATATGAAAAAGTAGTAGAAAATTATTAACAATTTCATATTCACTTGATGTATTAACTAAAAGTGTTGTTGTTGTTGTTCTTTGAAATTAAACATTTTCATGCATAGAATACTTCACTCAAAATTTGAAATTGATATATTTAATATACATTAAAATTATATATTGTTTGCTTATAAGAATTATAGTTATTTGTATATGTATTTAAATATAATACATATATTGTTAAATTTAGTATTGCTTCTAGATTTTTAAATAAAAATATATGACAAGATTTTAATTGTTTTATATAATCAAGTGAAACTGGTTATACTTTAACCACCACAAATTCCAACAGAATTTGTTTTTATTTCAGTCAAATGATTTTAGGGGTAATGAATGACCTTCTTCAGGATTTTAAAAATATCAAAGTTGTTAGAAGAGAAACATTTTAAATTGACAGAACATTGTCAGTTAGAAATTTAAAATTAATAGAACAATTACACTATTGGTTAGTTTAAAATCATCATAGAATAACTTGTCCATGTTTTAAAATGTAAGCTCCTAATTAGCTATATTCTATGTTTTATGTCATTAAAATACATTTATGCAATAAAGAGATTAACCACTAACCAATACATAACAATAAAAATGATCAACTGAACATCAACTGGGATTCTAACCAAAGTTACATTAAATATACCACCAGAAGCTACCAAGTGTGTTAATCCATTTTAAGGAATTTTGTAACAGGATCTTTGTGTATTTGAAAAGTTCAGTATCATTATAAGTGATTGTTTTGCCATTCTTTGTAGACTTAGATTTTCAATTATTCCAAGCATTTAAAGTTGGACATGTCTTTTATTGTATTTAATAGCCTTAGCTTTTCCCTGGTCTACTTCAGCCAAGTGGTTCATAGCATAAGCTTTTAATGCTGTTAGTGACTGCCCTCTTTTTATTTAGGTGCTATGCTCTACTAATCTTGTATTGAAGGAATGTGTGGTGGTTCTTATATACTCTAGGTCCTTACCAACTTTATGATCCTTTAACAGAACAGAGAAAACCTTTGCACTCAAAGCATGTTGGGCAGATTTTTGTCACTCCTGAGAAGACTAAATATATGATGATGATAGACATAACTGATGGGCTAAAAGATTACATAACTGCTATGGAATGAGTATTGGTGCTGAAAAATATTCTTGATAGACTCTAGAACAGTGTGCACCATTTTGCAACCATTGGATTAACCTGCATATTACATTTAAGTAAGGCTGCCATACTATCACTCAAACTCTCCCTAGTGGACACATTTCTGAGAAGTATTGTACTGCATAAAACTTCTCAGAATTTTCTCTGTTCTGCTTATAGCTGTGTATATATGAATCAGACTGTGTGTATTGCAAAATGGGTTATTTTTATAATCATGGATAAGCAAATTTGTGGGTTCAGAATCAATAGATAATGAGGATTGACTGTACTTTACATTCTTACTTATCTGTGAGCTCCCGAATGGAAATTGAAATTATATGTTTTGAATGACAAAGATCCAGCAGGACAGTTAAGCTCTCACCTCTCAAAATTAAAACAAAACAAAACTTAAAGTTCCCCTTAAACAATAAAAGTTCTTTTCATCAAAATGGAAAATGGAATGCTAGAATTACAGTGAAGAATTCCTCTGAACAAAATTCAGAGGAATTTTAGATGATTTGGATTGGGTTAAGTGTTGATAACTACCTCTCCTGCATCCTGAAAGGTTTTGAATTGTTATAGGGAGACGAGGGAAGACTAATTGGAATGCAGAATAGGGGGAAGAAACCTATAAAAATGTGTGTTTCAAAAACACACTGTTTTTTCTCCAAAAATTTGTTCTTCTTGCAAATCCACTGTTTGTTCTCTTACTGTTGTTCTATCTCCCAGCTACATTTGTTCTCCCAGAGTTGTTCTCTCTCCAAAGTTCATTCTTTCTCCAAGAACTGTTATATTCAAGGCTTTACAGCAAGCCGTGGGGCTGTCAATGAGGGACAGAGTGACGACATCCAATGGGACATTTGGACTTTATTTGACTCTCTTCTTATGAATTGTGACACAAGGAATTTGAAAATGGTGTAAGAGAATATTTAATTAAATAGAAAAAGGTACTCATTGAAGCAGTCTTATCATGTATTTCATGCCCACACAACATGTCCCTCGACTGTCCTGATAATCACACACAATTGGCAGACCTTACATATCTACTTTAGACTTCAAATCTAGTTACTCCATATTGAGTTTCCTTGAAGTAATATCAGTGCTTAAAGAAATACTTAATGATATATTTACATTTTATTCTAAGCTTATTTTAATTTTAGAGAATACATCTAATCTTTCACTCAGTTCCTAGAACAATTATATATTCACATCCTGGGAAATAAGCTGTCAATAATAAACAAACATGATGCTTCATTTACATCTAAGTGTAATTTTTCCTACTTTTTCAATCACACAAAAGCTAAATTTGGTTATTTTAATTTATATTTTGTTCAGTTAGCATAGATATATTTTTAAAGACATTTTGTATGTTTGTTTATTCAGATGATTTTTAAAACTGTATTTCTTTTATACAGATTTTTTCACATATGTGACGATGCAAATAAAATTGTTGCAAAGGCAATCCTTGTGGATACAGAACCTAAGGTAAGAATTTGAAACATTTTTTTGAAATTGAAACAAATATTAATTATAATTAGCAAATTTCAAAACAGATTATAATATTTGTTATGAAATGAGTTTGTATGCTATGTATGTATGTATTTAGATAACTTTCAGCTTGAGACTTTGTTATTGTTTTTTATTTTATTGACAGTTTTTTATTTAATTATTGCACTTAATGTACTTTATATTTTGACCAACTATTTTGACACACTGTCAAAAAATACACCTAGATAATTTAATACTTTTGCTACATTTTAAATATAGCATTATTAGAATAGATGTAACTTCATGCCTTTTTTTTTCTAAAGTATTTGTACCCATATATAAATGTATTTATACTTTTTAAAAGGAAGAACATGTACTTTCAAACAAATATGTACAGAAATTAAATTATCATATATGTAGACAAGTTATATACAAATAAAAATAATAAAATAAAATAAACTTCAAAATTTCACAGAATTGTAATGTAAACAATTTAAGCTTATATATTTCTATTTAGTGGTATATATTTTATTAAAATGTAAGACAGGCATGAGAAAACACTCCCTTGTTAGTAAGAATGATTATATAAATTACATATAATTATTCTGTTTGGTTTGTTTTTTTTTTTCTAAAAATCTAAAAAGTATTATTTATTTAACATGAAAACAAAAATTTTTTTTGAGTTAAAAATTATGAAAACTTGTATAATAGAAGGTTTGTACTGTCAAATGGAAAACTTGTAAATGTGTTTTTAATTCTAGTATTTGGTATTTTTTTTATCTTGGGTATTTTGTTCCAAAGTTTTGTGTTTGAAAATAATAAATATAGAATCTTATTTGTTCTCTTTCTTCAAATTTATCTTCAATCTATATATACTTATCGTTGATTTTCTTTTTTATTGATTTTTTCCAGTAGTTATGACTTAGACTGAGACCAATGAGTCTAAACTGTGATTCATCACAGTTTAGATTGACTCATTGTTCTCAATGTAAGTCATACAGTATGATTCACTTGGGATTGAACACTTTTGCAGTGTAACAGTGAGGATTGCTAATTGTATCCTTTCCTTTAAAACGGATATATCAGAAACAGGTGTTTAGTAAACCCTGTCTTTAACATAACCAAAAAAAAAGAAAGAAAGAAAGAAATCCAGTGGGGTTATGTCGGGTGATCACGGAAGCCAAGATATGGGTCCTTCACGACCAATTAATCCATTTACCTCAGGCAATTGATACCAGAAAAAACTCTTAGATGTCTTCATCCTTTTGCAGCAAACTGCATTTTATTTCACCTATTAGTATTTTTATTATTCATGTTTAGAATGATAAAGATCTTTCTCGGACACCCTGTATGTGTAGAGAGAGAGATTTCATCTAGTCTCCCACTTTTGTAATTTCACTCGTGCTTAGTTCAATGAAGACACTTAATTGCTTACTATATCAATGTTTAATTATGACACTAGACATTACAATTAACAACATAAAATACTAAACATTAAATTTGATTTGTCTCTGAAAATCTTTGTCTTAAAAAAAGAGAAAAGGTCCCATCTGGACATGTCTTCAGTCTTTTTTTGCGCCTTCTCCTTCAACAGTCATCTTCAGTGGCTTCCTTCGTAATGTTCTCTTTTCCGCCTTTTTTTTAACTGTCATCATCTTGGACATGCCACCAGATGGTGCCTCATGACATTCCACTCTCCACATATATATACAGTAACTTATAATGCTGCATCATAATATCATTCTGAAGACATTTAAAATGTTAAAAGTAAGTTTAATTTAAAAATTTTGTACTAGCAGAGCTAAATTGATGTAATATATCCAAAAACATCTATTATTGGTGTGTAAAGTACCATGTGATCTGTTCATAAAAGCTGCTGATTGTTATTTTGGATTGCAAATGTAAGCTTCACTTTTATTTTGGACAAGTAGAAATGACTAAAAAAATGCATCTTAGAATCTTAGATTTGAGGAATTATACTATATCTTAATTTTGATCTTGACTTTCACATTAATTTCTTCAATATATTTAAGCTTGATAAGCTTATTTTTCGAACATATCTGTCTTCATTCTGATATATTTTTAAAAAACATTTCTAAACTTTTTAGATTTTCTTACAGGTTTTTTTATGTAAATAATGCCTAAATTCATTAAAATAATGTTTGTTATTTATTCAATTTTTTATAATTTTATTTAGGTTATACAAGAGTTGAATCTTAAGACAGAAAAGAATACTTGGTGCTATAATAAAGATAATATTTATCTACAACAACAAGGAGCTTCCAATAACTGGGCTTATGGATATAATAAGCATGGAAATACTGCTAAAGATGTGGTTCTTGATTTATTTCAAAAAGAAATTGAGCGATGTGACTGGGTATCAGGATTCCTACCAATTATGTCTCTAGCTGGAGGAACAGGTAGTGGTTTGGGAGCATTTTTAACTGAAGTTTTACAAGATAATTATCCAAAATCAATTATATTTAGTCAGGTAAGATTTGTTTATTAATTATTCATCCAAAAATATTTTTACTAAGTTATACTAAGTATATATAGTTATACTTAAACAACAAGATATCAGTTTTCTATCTCTATCTTATTTTACTTATGAAATATAAATATTCTTGAACTATATAGAACTACACTGTCAAAGTAAATAATTTTGTACTGAATTATATATTGAACGTTTTTAACTATTAAATTTTCATATTTTTCACATAAAAATATTTGGGCTGTTTGGTTTGTGGTCATCACACTATGAATGTCAAAATGAACATAATAATTCAGTAAAAACAGATTAAATCACATAAAAACAAAATGATATCTATGGATTAACTTTTGGGCTAAAACTTAATTAATTTACTAAATACAATGCAATTTGGACTAAAGGTAAATAGTTCAATTTGTCTATGTACTAAATTTAAAAATTATATTAACTTTATATGAAGTATCATTAATTTGGACTAGTCTGGAAGAAACAATTGATTCAAAGTGGGATTTAAACCTGCATTATAGACAGAAGTTGTATATTCAAGTCCCACTTAATCATCCACCTTTAATTCAAATTATGTTGTATTTAGTTTAATTTAGTGGTATTATTTGATTATTATGGTAATTTGGTCCTGGCTGTTTAAACTGATATTTTAATATGAATAGAGAGATCATAAACAAATGCTTATAATTAGATTAATAATAAATATTATGTTTAAAAGCAAATACCTCACAAAACTGGACAAGGAATATAAATACGTAGGCTGTTTTTTTTTTTTTTAAGCTCTGATGGTCCATAAAAAAAACAAGTGTAAGTAACAAAATGAATTTATTACCAAAAGTTAGGTACAAACATGGTTACTTTTCGACATAATCACTGTGAAGGTTGAGGCATTTGTCATATCTGTGGATGATCTTGATGAGTTTGACAAATATCTCAGTTTTACCAGTGATTTTACATAATTCCCAAATGAAGTTGGTAAATTTGATAAATGTTACTGAATAAATAACTGTGAATACGGGGGGCGGAACGCTCCCGCTCTACAGTCAGGATAAAAAGGTCAAGCGAGTGGAAAGGGAGGTGATTGGGGTCGACGATAAGGTGAAGGGTGAGATCGAGTAAAGGAGTCTACCATTACTTTAACAAATATAAAATAACAATTTATTAAAGAATAGGCAAATGACAAAACTACAAAAAGCTCTATATTGTCAGAGAGTTTCTATACGACAGAGAGAGTTTCACAGTGGTTTCATACCTCTTATAGCCATCCACTTTGACGATTCTGAACGTGGATGCCTTTAAAATATCAATCCAAGGAATAATCCACAAATACGGCACAAATTATATCAAATCGCGACTTTCGCGCTCATTTAATTCGAGGTTCATCGGAGATCGGAATTTGGCTCGTGTGGAAGATCGGTGCGATGTTGTTAATCCTGCGTTCGTTCGTAGACTCCCCTGAGAGGGGGTAAGAACGGCCTTTTATCCGTTTTAGTGGGGAATTTCCACCACGTGATCGGATGTACATAGGGTAAAGGTTATAGGTGTTCCAGGGATCTATAACAAATGACGACATTTAGATGCTAACTATCAACCTTTTTGCAAGATGAGATGCAAGTTCTGCAAAGAACAATGGATGTTGCTAGTTATGACTGGAAAGTTTACACAATCCCGGGCAAGATCGTTTTTCCTACTAGGGCGTTACATAAACACAAGTTTGATTAATTAACAATTTTGTTAATAAATGAACGATATTTCCGTCACCAAAATTCCGGATCTCACATAACTTTTAAAGCGATTTTTGTATAATTTCCAAAATGTAGTTCATAAATTGGGAAATTTCAGTATATTTATCAATCTTTTGTAAAAGTAACTTATGGATTTACACAAATTTTAATAAAATGAATCAAAAATATGTTTTTTTGTTTTATTAATATTAGACTGATTTAATGAATATAAAGAATAATAAAACTCATGGCGAAAAGGAGGACAGACACAAAGTTTTAACTTTGTTAAAAAGTTGTATATATATTTTTATGTATTGAATATAAAGAAACTAAGAAAAATATGTTTCAGCTAAATATTAGAATTATTTGTACAAAAATATAAAAAAAAAATTTGTTGGAAGAAATGTATAAAACTCTAATAATTCTTATTGCTTATTTAAACTTGGCAAACTATTATGACATTTTGAGTTACATAATTTTTCATTATTCATTTGTATTTAGTTGAATTACACCTTACATGAGTACCTTTGGTACCCCTGACCTCCTGAAATTGATGTATTTTCTGTTCACTCTTTAAGAAACAGGGTGTTATTTGCTACATTCTCTACTGTAAGAAATTGTTTGTCATATAACACAAACTGGTTTCTGGTATACAGTTTGTGAAAGATGTCCCTCCTTTATTTCCAAATGATAGTATTTATCATTTTTAATAGCTAATATTGGCAGTAATATTAGCTACTGAAAATGAAGTGTACTATAACTTGGAAATAAAGAAGGGACATCTTTCACAACTGTATATCAGAAACCAGTTTATTCTGCAGATTGCCTCTTGCCCTTTCTACATTTGTTATTCTGTTTACCAGAATAACAAATGTAGAAAGGTTTGTTAAAATTCTTGTTAAAATAAAGGTCACCCAATCAGAATGCATTATTTATCATATTTACCACTCAACTGGTGAGTATACATAATCACCAGAAAATGTGATTAATTTGCAATATATGAAATAAATTTATCACAGTTACTGAAATAGTTGGTGATTATGCATAATTGCTGGATTAATTCACTTTTGCCATATTGTGTGTATATATTTATGTATGTATATATTCAAAATATAATTAAATTAATACTTTATTAAGAACTTTACAAACTTTATTCATTTAATTATAGGTTGTTCACCCTTTTAATAAAGGAGAAGTGACTGTTCAGAGTTATAACACAATTCTTAGTCTAAGTCATTTGCAGAATTCGTCTGATGGAATAGTTTTGTACAAAAATGATGATTTACACAAAGTTTGCACTCAAAGAATGTCAATAAAAAATGTTTCCCTTCAACATCTTAATAAAATAATTGTCCAGTCTCTGGCAGGACTTTTGTTTCCTTCTTACAATAATTTAGGTGTCACCACAAATATTGGTAAGTGTTTATTAATATCTGTAGTTATTTATATAATAATTATGATGAAAACGTTTAAATGTTTATACTAAAGATAATAGTATTATCTTTAGTAAAAAAACATTTGACATTTGAACATTTTCATTATAATTATTATGATTAAATGTAGTATCATATTGTAACTTGTTAAAACTGTGAACACTGTTAAAACTGTTAAACTGTGAACGTTAAAACTGTGTAAACTGTTAAAACTGTGAACGGTGTAGGTCTCCCGATCCGGCAACAGGTTGATGAACCTTCTCACTGGTCAGGATGGATTAAAATTTTACTTTTCCCGCGGTAACGGGATTAAATGTTTCGGGTCGAGTGGCGGAGGGAGGAGTGCGTCGGTAAGATGACAGGCGATACACGAGCAAACGAGGACACCAATTTAACAAGATAACAACGATTTATTAGCTACATACAGATTACAATAACCAATTTCAAAAGGGAAAATCTGAGTCCCTGAAACGCGAAGAACCGAGAGAGAGTTCACAAAAATAAGTTCCATACCTCTTTATGTCTTTAAACATTCTTAAGGAAAAAGGTTTTGATATCCAACGAGTTGGTAGGATTAGGATAATAATTTTTCTTCAGGACACAATATCGGATAGGACACAGTATATTAATAGGACATAATATCCGTAGAACACAGTTGTAAAAGTGATGGCGGATGAACAACTCCCCCGAGAAGGGGAAGGAAGGGGTTTTTATAAGTTCGGTGTGGGAGAATGGTCATGTGACCAATTGTTGTGAGGTAAAAGGTACGCAGATGGGTCAGAGTTGTTCCCGGGCCCATGCTAACTATCAACTTTAGAGTTGGAATGTGGGATTAGTTTTGAAATGGATGGATGTTTATTTTAAACGAAAGGGGAGATCGGAATTTTTCCATTTTTTTAAGTTAGGGTTTAGTTTAGAATTTAAAGGAAAATTTAATTAGATTTTAAGCAAATATGGGACAATTAATCGACAAATAGTCGACAAAAATTCCGGATTTCACAAAACTGCTAAATTTAGGAACCAAAATACAAGGTCTGTTCAAAAAGTATCGGATTTTTTTTTTTCCGCGTAAACCAATGATGCGCGACAGGCCTCTTTCGGTGGAGTTGTAGAGGGGACAGTCATGCACAGCCCTGAATTATTTCCCGCCTGCAGGAAGCGTCAGTCGTTGGCAGTTGGCCTATGAGGGAGAACATGTAGCGAGCGCTCATCGGATTCCACTAAGTTGGAAAACGACTGAACAACGTGAGCAGCAATATTACATCAAATTTTGCCAAAAACCTTGGCGATACCCAAGCGTAAACCATTCGCAAGATTCAGCAGGCTTTCGGGGACGATCCTCGAGGCCAAAAAAAGCACGGCAGGTCCACAGCAATATCAAAGGTCATGTTGACAGTTCTTTCGACTCTCGTGGGGTGGTGTGTCGTGAGTACGCATCACAAGGCCAAACCATCGCAAAGGAGTACTACCAGGAGGTCCTTTGTCATCTTTCCGATGCTGTGCGATGCAAACGACCAGATCTGTGGTCGATCAAAACTTGGCAGCTCCATCGTGATAACGCATCCGCCCATTCTGCGCATCTGATTCGGGCTTTTGTCGCCAAACATTACACTCCTGTGGTTCGTCACACTCCATACTCTCCCCACATGGCTCCGTGTGACCTTTGGCTATTTACCAAGCTGAAAATGCCGCTAAAAGGAACCCGAATTTAGTCGAGAGAAGACATCGTGCAAAATCCGACGGACCAGCTGATGGTCATTCCAAAAGATGCGTTCCAGCAGTGTTCCCAGCAATGGCAGGAACACTGAGAGAAGTGTATACGTTACCAAGGAGACTACTTTGAAGGGGATTAGGGTTTTGTACCTCAAAGTCAATAAATTTATTTTTACCGACCAAAGGTCCGATACTTTTTGAACAGACCTTGTATATTCTATATTAAGTTATGTTTTTGACCATTGTATAATTATCCTTAATTGACAAATTAATTACAAATGAATAATGTTGAACATATTTTAAAATTGTATTATAATTCTAATAAAATCAATTACAATGAAACAAAAGTAGAAAAAAATTGTTTTAAAATAAAATATAAGAATAAATTTTTGTTTTCTGAATTTATTGGTTTTATCTTTTAAATTAATCATGATTAATAGCTGATAGATTGAATTTAATTCTGAGCGAATTTTTAATTTGAATACATATAATAGAAATTATTTATTGTAATCACTTTGTATGTGGTTACCCTGCTTTATAGAAAGTTGCTGATTAGTTTATTTGATAGATGAACATAAAATACTTTATTTAAATTAAAATTATGGAGAGTTTGTGAAAATACTGTATCAAAGTCCATTCAAGTTAAACAGTTTGATGAATTTGAGTTAACCATTTTGATTTAACATGTAAATCCCTATGCTAGTAAATCAGGGAAAGAAAATGATTTTGAGTAATTATGACTTTCAGATTCCACTGTGTTTATATTTTTATAGTTTTTCATTATGACCACTATCATCATCATCAATCACACATTGACACACAATGTTTTCCATCTGGTTATGGTAAAGTATTCAAAAACACTAGATATAACCCAAGTCTTGTTAACCATTTTATATAGATCTTTTGACAATAAAAATATAGAATTAGATAACACAGAATATACATGAATATAAATTTCTGAAAAGAAAATCAATAGTAATTAGTGATATACAAAGAAACATCATAAAGTAAGGAAATTAATAAGGTCTTTCATTACAGAAGTTCCTACAATGGAAGATAGGAAATTAATACTCCTATTAGGAGCTTAATATAAAATATGTATTAAAAAAGGGAGTCAAAGTTGGTAAAAATGGATAGATGCCATCTCCTGTTGACCAAAGCACTGGTTATAATGTATTTTCCATATTGTACATGTAAAATTGCATAAAATACAGTTCCTAGTACTATTATAATTTAATATTTAATTTTACATAAGATAACTTCCTTCATATTCTTGGTATGAAATGTATATTTTAGCTTTATTACTACTGTAATACTGAAAATTAATTTAATTTTTTTTAATAGGTGATTTGATGGCTCAATGTGTCTCACATTCTCAGTATAAATTACTTGATTTAATATCTGTTCCTCAAGAATCTGTGGATTCATTATCATTTAGTTCTTATAGTTGGCAAGGACTGCTGAAAAGTTTGCAAAGAATGTTATTTTATGGTTCTTCAATTGATGAAGGTATTTATATAATTTGTAAAACTTATAGGTATAAAATAGGAATTTTAAACATATTTATACAACATTATATGCTTTAGAAGTCTAAAACAACCTTTTGATTAAATACCTCTTTAACTGAGGATTGTCTCAGAGTTTTAAAGAATTGTATAGCAGGTGAACATTTTGAAATTTTTCTCAGCTTCAAATTTTCTTTTCTTATGATTCAAACAAATTTAAAATATCTTGAAATGCTCTTAAACAAACAAATTTGCAAATTAAAACAGATATTTTAACTTCTTATATTTATTCATTTTATAAGAAAAGGATCTGAAGCTTAAATAGAAATTACTCTCAAATATTTGTTTTGGTTTAATTTAGAATTGACTTTTAAATGAACAGAAATAAAGTTGAAAAATATGATTTAAAGCTAATATGACTTCCTTTGAGGTATTCTGATGTTTACATAAAAACTTTTCATTGCATAATTAATGAGATTGTTACATTGAATTGTTATGAATAAATTCGTTTTCATCAATGACTTTAGTTTGAAAGATATTAATGTAAACTAATGATAAATACTAAAATGTTTTTCTTCCTTTTATAATACACATTAAAACTCATTACAATGAATCTTTGGGAACCACACAGTTTATTTTGTAATACTGAAAATTTGTTGTGTGTTTAAAATTTCTTTTATTTATTCATTATATCTATTTTATTTTTTGATTAAGAATTTTAACATTTTTGATTATATCATAGTTTTAGTAGCACTACTAAAAATGAAACTTTCAATGCCATTGAAAATGTTTTTCACACTTAAATAATGTTAAATCGGACAAGCAGAAAATATTTTATGGATCACCAATGACAGAATAAGTACGCATGAATTTTATCAGGCTGTTCAAAGCTTCTGGAAGTAAAATTTTCTCATCAGTGAACTGAATTAAAATTATATTTAATATTAAAGAGAAAATAATAGATTTTCTTGCAACATCATTTTTATCTTCCCAGTGTCTATTTATTTTTTCAAAATTGTTAATTTTTCTTTTAATATAAATTGAAGTTTTATCTCAATTTTTAATTTGTTCATTTTAATCACAATACAAATGTTAATTAGCTTTGTAATGATTGTAATAAATTGCAATAACAATATAGGCAACAGAAAAACTACAAAGTATTTTCCTTATGTATGCTGTTCTCTGACTGCAAATTTCACCCACTGTACTAGTATGACCAAATAAATTGTTTAACCTAAAATGAACCAAACTTAGATAAATTTTACTGAAGTAACTAACCTTTACTTATTTACTGTACAGAAGTTTAAGAATGATGATAAAATCATTACATTGGATTATTAATTTTTTTAAAGATGAGATTCTTTTACACAGTTTATTTAAGAAATAAACGTCTTCCAACACTAGAGGAGTTACAATTCAGCACTTCAAACAACCTTTACAGCTCCAACCTTTCCAGCTCCTGATGAAGACCTCGATGAGGTTGAAAACATTTGCTGAGGTGTAAACACATACCACTGGAGCTGTAAAGGTTGTTTGAAGTGCTGAACAGTTTATTTAGTTTGCTCAAACAAAAATTTTTTGTTGTTCTGAGGAGTTCATTATTATAAAATTTGATGCCATTTGATTTCTTAAATGGTAGTTATATAAACTTGAACAAAGATTTTTGTTGGATAAATTTTATATGAATTGAATGAATGGTAAATTTAAACATTTATTTCATTTCAATAATAATACCATCAGTATTAAAACAAAACTGTAATAAATTCAAATTCTTGCTTTAGTGATATGAAATTATAATCAGTAAGGACATTTACTTAATAGAAAATAGTTATCAAATGCTTTTATGTAAAAATGTATTATTACATCTTGTATTATTTGTTCATATAATAATAAATTATAATTTAAATAGTCTAAATTTATACTTTATGGTAGATAGGATAATGTTATAAGAGATTTATACAATAAATTAATTGTATTGTTTTTATTCACTGTAAAAAGAGAGAGAGAGAACAATGCAATAGTTTTAAACAAGCAGAATATACATCATCAAAATGAACATGTTGTTCTAACATTATGATAGACATGTGCAGACTGTGACATTATTTGAAACAATGTTGTATAAAAGTTTTTAAATTGAATAAACATCAGATCTGTACATAAACTAAATGTTGCTGTACTGTATCTGACCTCATAATGCAAAGTAAAGTTTTGATTATTTAAAATACAGTATATCCCAGTATATACAGTATATAAAATAAGGCAAGTTTCAAAAAGTGTCTTAATTAATGACATGATTTTGTGAAATACTTGTATTTTGTGTAAAAGTATGTACAGTACATGTACTTTTACACACAATACAACTGTTAAGTAAAAAAGTATACACTGTTCAAAACTAGAAAATATATTTTTTGAATGTGGTAAGGGTTTTTCTTCAGAGTAGTGAAGATTATAATTAAAACAAATGGCACTCTTCAGATATCTTTTGATAAGTGGGCACTTTGAGCTTTGGAAAATCTTTTAAAGAAGTTCATGTCTGTCAGGAACATTGCTTGGATTTTTATCAGTTTTTGTGATCACCATTGTCATTGTTCTTGTAATCTTCTTGGAATGTACTTCTTGTATGTCTACTGGCTGAGAGGAGAGACTCCTTTCAATCTTATCGTGTCATTTCCTTCCGAACAGATTGATGCCAGATATGTCTCATTAAGATGATTTCCACCATACTCATGATTGGATTGTGTGAAGATTTCACTTTATGTAATCAAACAGACAAGCAATTGTTTATTTGATTACATAAGTTTCTGCACCTGATGCAGTTTCTCCTCATGACATCCATTGAGGTGGATCAGTCATCTCACAAGATTTGAATGTAAAATTCTGTAAATTGTTTTGAGTATACGCGACCTGCAGAATGTATTTTTAAATCATAATTTTTAATTCTCCAAATATTTGATAATCAGATTCAATGTTTTCATGTGTTGGACGTCAAATCTTTTTTTTTTTATGTACTGATCTAGTTCTTTTAAGTTTATTTACTTACAATGAAGTGCATTCTCTGTAAAAATGTATGTTTGAAATATTCCTAAAAATTTTTCTGTATTATTACCTAATTTTGTTTCTTTGATGTTAAATGTAATGTCCAGTCCACAAATATGTATTTTTTAATCTATCGTAAATCATTTGGCTCTGTAAACATAATTAAATTTTAAAAATAGTTATCGGTTAAATTAAAATAGTGTATGCACATTATTATACAAAATGCAAATGTTGTTTTGCTTGAAATTTGCCCATTTCACCAAGATACACTACCTCTTTTAGGAAACAACTATGTATAATCAGAGTTGTAATTGTATTTTTTTTTTTTTATTTTTTTGGTCAAAAAAATTATTTTCCAAGTAAGTATTCTGACTAAATTCTAATAAGTAGATCTAATTGAAAAGAATTTAAATGATGTAAATAATTCCAACCTCATTGGTCTTTATTTTCTAATGTAGATAATAGTGTAGGAAATGTATCACTTAATATTTGATGTGTATTTTTTTTTTATATCTGTAGATTATTTAGAGATTTGAAAATTATCCTCAAGTAATCATAATTGATATGAAAATTCTGTTAAAATTTGCAGCATCAACACCTACAGAAATGAAGGAGAACAGGAACTCTCAATCCTTTTTATCAAATTTACTGGTATTGAGAGGTTCAGATGCTCACTTGGCGGATTCGTCCGTCTTTCAACATTCCATTTCCTATAGCTCTTGGGTGCCGACAAATCACCGATTCGACACGTGGACTCATTTGCGACCCCTTCTGGGACACGACAAGATGGCCACGTTGGCCAGCAACGGTCAGTTTATACTGTCGACCATTCAACACTCATTGAATAAAGCGTGGAATATGTTTGCCGCCAAAGCGTACCTTCATCACTATCGTCGTTACAGTTTAATGGACGAGGATTTTGTCGAAGCATTCGCCCGGGTGGAGCAGATCGTTGCCAATTACAAATCTCTCCATTGAATTTACGTAAACTTTATTTATGTATATATAAATTAGTCAAATGATCGTTTATGTTAATATGTTGTTCAGTAAATTGTCTGATCATCTTATCAAATGAATATTACTGTTTTGAGGAATTGATATAAAATTCCTTATATTATTATAATAATATATGTACATTTTTGAAAAGTATTCAAAATAAATTAGCGACAAGATTATTAATTTAAAAAATATCCTCATAATTAGATTTGTAATTTAATATTGTAGGAATATTGTTGAATTATCTAGTTTAAAATTTTTAATTACAGTATTTAGTGTTCCTATTACAGTATTGTAATATTTATGAAAGTTTGACGAAAAATTTTGTACAGAGTACAGAAATTGACATGGACTGTGCAATTAAAACTTTGGATAACTTGATGCGAGTCGAAAATGGAGTTTTACAAGTGGGATAACTTCAAGTACATAAACATTATGTTTTATATGTAGTTTTTAAGAAAACTTACATGTTTTTTGATTATTTATATTATATTTAAAGTTAAATATTTATAAATCAAATTTACACGGGCCCCCATTGATTCTTATGTTGTCTGTCCCAGGCTATCGAATAATTGCATATCTATCTTGTACGATCATTTAATGTTCTTAATTTATAAAAACTCAAATGTACTTTGTAAAACAATTTTAAGAAAAATAAAACTTAAAAGATTTTAAAATTTGCAAATATGATTGTTTTTAAATAATGGACATCATCATTAGAACTTTTTTGGTATTGTTCTTTAATATTTTGAAGAAAAGTTGAAATTTAAATACAGTATGGTTATGCTAATCTGAACAGCTTTTACTGTTGTTTTAACTAAAGTATGGACTTGTCAACCATACATTTGAAGTTCATGTGTAAAATAAACACAAGTCACATGTTGTGAACATTGTTGCTGTAACCCTGTTTGACTTTACAGCAGCAAATAGAGGTTAGAATTGTTAAGTACTATATTACAACAATAGAAAATGGCCTGAAAGCATAAACATCATATCTCTAATACCATTCTCCAGTTAATCCAAACTGCCACTGATCTCAATTAATTCAGATTAAAAATGAGGTTGCAACTATCAAACTAACACTAGTCTTTTCACATTATAAGTAACGTTAACCACTCAGCAGTGACCGACAGATATATCCATCAAGGGCAATTGTGTGGCAATGGTGAACGACAGATATATTCGCGAGATTCTTTTGTGGCTATTGCCAAAAACGTCCACGAAAAAAAATTCACATAAAGGAATTATGTAACAATAAAAAAAAAAGACTTTTCTTTACTAGACATAACCATTTACAAAATCTTTTTCTGAAACAGTAATGAGAAAAAATGTGTGGGAAAACACTTAAAAAATTTCTGTTTATTCTCCACTACATAGGGATAGCACCATACCTGACTAACCCACTGCTGAAAGGTTAAATCAATTCCAATTTTAATTTGACATAGTTTAAATTATTTCAAAATTTCGTAAATTCTATTTGTAACGTATGAAAATTTAATAGTTAAGCACCAAAAAAATTTCCAAAAATTATTATTAATTTTTTTTTTGACCTAATGGTACTGATAGGGTCTTTTAACAGTCTATTGTAGATTTTGATTAACATAAAAATAATTTTTTTGATTCTTCAGCACAATGAAGTACTTTAATTAGACACAAAAAGTTAACTGAAGAGGGGTACCAGAGACCCAAAACGCATATTGACCAATGAATAAATAATGGGGGAGAAAACAGGAAGACAGTTTCGAATTTGTAAATAAAAATAATTTAGAATTTAAACATATAGAATATGTTGAAAAGGTGTCCTTGTGTATCTTGCACCTCTTTGTACTTTTAATTGTATTCAGACTGACCTTAAGTACTGATGATAGTCTCAATGTTTCTGCAAATGCTTTCCTCCAGTTTGCTTATAGTCCCAAGATTGATCTAGTGTACTTTTTTTTTAATTATCTGTTATAAAATTTACATCACTAATGTTTCATCAAAATCCCCTACAAAATTTGTCAGTAATGTGTCATCATCAGTGGAACATCGCACAAGTTTTATGTAATTTTATTTTTACACTTGCTGCACTTTATACATCTTACATTCTGTATTACATATCATACAAGTGAGCATAACTAATATAAGTGTCTTTTTAAACTTATTTTGAATGTTTCATTCCTATATTTTCATTGGGCTGCAATTTGAAAAAAGTTGTAGACCTTCACTTCCCACTGTCATCCATCTGTCTTTTGTTAATCTCCAGAATGGTGTTAGGTAAATGAAATTCAAGACCAGATGTGGAAAGCTTAAGGGCAGGATGCTAATTAACTATATATAAACTTGTGATGCAAACTGGAAATCACATTATTTCAATTAAAAAATTTCCCCTGAAAGGAGTTATAGATGACCAGCATGACTCCATTGCTAACAGAAAATGTATGTACCGGGGCAAGATACTACAGTACTAATTTGAGATGGAGAGCATATATTTTAAATTAAAAATTGCAGTCCAGCATTATGACAATGTCACAATAAATAATTGCTCATTTAACATATTTTTGAAAGTAATACTGTCTACAATTTTAAAGGAAGCAGTAATCATATGCAGTTTGTCATTATTTTTGTATCAAACAATAAAATAACATGATTTTTAACAGTTTAAATGTTATTTAATAGAGAGGTTGTGGCTGGCATTTTCAAACGAAAATGTGTACGTTGGACGTTCAGCGCCACCTTCCTGTAAGCATAGAAGTTTGACAATGGCATTTGGAACGTCAAGCATGATTCTACTGACGATTCAAACGCCATTGTTAAACTACTAGGCTCACAGGAAGGCAGCGCCAAACGTCCAACATACAGGTTTGTGTTGAAAACGTCAGCCACCTCCTCTCTAATTTTTGAAGAGTAATTTAATTTGAAGAGTAGGACCAATTACTATGTAAATACTGTAATCTGTATTAGGCAATGTTAGCCAATTTTTTATATCTATTTCTGTTTTTTTTTTTTTTTTTTTTTTTTAATAAATGCGGTGCCGCGGCCCATGGATCCCCACCCTTGCCTTCCTTCCCCTCCCCTTTTTAATCTAGTTACTTTCACTTTTCTTTTCATTTCTTTTCCTCACTATAGGGCTAAGTTTGTCTTGAACACACAGCTCTCTACTTAACTTTATACTTATCTTATCTTATCTAACAATAATGCTATTGTCAACTACTCTTTAAATTAAATACACGTCAATATAATTATACTGTATATTGTAAATATATATATATATAGTCATTAATTGCATTTTTATGCATTTGTAAACGGTGAGCATTTGATGGGCTATCGATACACGCACTTATTTGGGATTCCTTAGAGATTTACAATGAGTGAAATAATTCTGTTAATTCTTTTGGAGAAGGATGGAGAATAATGAGAAATAGTGGAATGTAAAGTATAGCAGTGAATGTTATCAAGGAGGAATGTAAAACATGGAAAAATTGTATGCAATATAACAGGTGAAGTTGTCCTATAATTTTTACATGGAGTTTCTATCCATTGACTACTGACTTTCAAATCTTTACTTAACTTTTCATTTGCTGAAACTTACAACTATTCAGTTTGTGAATAGTATAGTTTGAAGTAGGGTTTCTCAAACAGGATCCCGGTTGTTTTTTTCAACCCGGGAAATTCTCATCCTGAGAAATCCCACAAATTTCTTAAACGTTCACTTTTCTTCTTATTTTGTGTTAAGGTTGAGGAAATTTTGCAAATAGAAAACACAATTAATTAACTCATAAACTGTCAGAATACATTTGTATTTATTAATTTTAAACCTACTTATTAGTTTTTTTAAATTTTTGCTCGTTATGGCATGTCACAAACGGTCAATAATCAATATGTAGCTTATTTATGGCAGGACTCTCAAAATTCTTTATTTGTCAGCACCTAATATCTAGAATAATTGTGTTTAATCTGTCTTAATTTTTAACCATGCCTACTAGTAACTTCAATAACTGTGTAACGCCAGATTGTGCAAATTGGGTCAGAATACAAACGAGTACGAAGTCTGCACGTATGAAGTTTTTCTTCATAAACCTAATTATTAAAGCCAAATGAATTGTTGAATTATCAAGCTATAAGCTTGATGTTTCCATTAAAGAGCTGAAGTAGACAAATCAAGAATACTAGAGGCAAAACAAGTACTACAATCTCAAAAACAAACTAGAAATCTTCCAGGCTACAGGTGGAAAAAACATAACATCCGTCTCCTCTTAAATGATTCCACTCACATCAATTGAATCGGAAAGGGCATTCTCGGTAGCAGGACTTTTCATTACTAAAATAACCAGATTGAGTGATCGGAGTCCTGACTATCTTTGCTTTTTAAAATCTTATTAATACAAAATATTATTGTAAATTTTTATGTTTTATTTAAAAAACAATTACCTTCTAAGTTAGAAGTTTGATCTAAGTTCAATTTTTTAAATTTTCAACTCAATTTAAAACTTTTTTTTTTTTTGGTCGTCGTTGTATGCAGTGTCCAGCAAACATTAATAAATTTTTTCTATTTGTGAAAATTTCTACGTAATTCAAAGGTAATTTTTAATATATATCTTACACAGCATTATTAATATGATTTTGGAGGTTGCAGAATGTATTAAATTACTTTAAAAAATGAAAAATAATTATATCATTTGATTTCTTGATATTTTGTATATCTTAAAAATAATTAATTCTATCCCATGATCCTGGGAAACAGTTCACTATTCCCCAAAATCCCAGGACAAGCAAAAGAATGGGAAATGAGAAACCCTAGTTTGAAGTTACTGTGTCAACTCCATATTGTCATTATAGATTTAAGACTAATCGTTTTACTGTTTGTTTCATTTATCTTAAAACTCTCTTCTTTTGTCCCCTTATAAGTTGATAAATTTTTCAGCATATGAACAATTTAGAGATTCATGATGAAATTTTAATATGTTAAATTATATTGAAAATAACAAATAAGTTCAGAGTAAACAGTAAGAAAATTTCTGTACACAGAATTATTATTTTATAAATATATTTCAGTAAAATTTTGTTTACAGTCTTCCGGTATCATATGATTATTACCAAAATAAACTATGTTAGAACTACTTACATCAATAACGTATTTTTTTAATAATTTTCGTCTAAGAATTAATTTAAATTTTTTAAAACTATACACATTTTGGTTTAGTCTCAGGAATTTGTCGCCTGCGAAGAGCTGACTTTTGGACCGGAACCGATTTGGCTGAGATGTTTCACCACGTCCACCCAGTTCCAACCTCTTGGCAATTCACCATCGGTATTGACTCGATTGGCTAATTTTCTTTTCTGTTGTTTTGTGAGTTTTGGCTTTTTTTCCTTCTTGCTCGAAATCTGTGGTTCCTGAAATAAAATGTTTATTATAATTTTTCAAATTTTCTATAAATTTTATTCTGTTAAAATGTACAATTTTAGAAATGTAAACTTTACAACACATGTTTCTATAAGAGAAACATCCATTATATCAAAGTATATATGAAAAATTGACTATCAACTTTACACATAGAGTAAATGTAAAAATAATGTTTTGATAAATAATTTTGACTTGTCACAAGAAGTAATAATCTTGTAACACCCTAGAAACAGATTGCAAGTATATTTTTGTACTGTCATTGATCAAAATGTACGCTATAGTTCCCTACTTAATTTTAAAGAATTATATACAAACTATAAAGTTTTAACGTCTAGTGAAGTTATTACTTGTATGACCATAAAATATGCCTTGGTTTGACCAACTTTTTCCACTTTATGGTCTACATGTCAATAATATTTTGGTTTACTGGTCAATATATATGTAAAAAACAATGCAGGTTTTGGTTTTCATTTGAACATTCATACAAAAATGCAAAAAAGAAATGTGTGTTCTTCGAATGGACAGGTTTAAGTTTCATCTTTAATTTCTTGGTCACAACTTTTAAATTGCTTATGATTGTGCATCCCATGTGATGAGATGGTAAGGAATCCAAACTCTTCCTTGAGCTGAAACGGCATTACATTTGGTTCCTGTGTGTATCTTTTGCTGTGGAAATGGCAAAAAAAAGGAGTGTGTATCTGAATGAGATTTACAATTTCATTCAGATTATGGTTTTTGCTTTCCAAAGCCATTTTTTTTCCCTACTTTTTTCTTAATGCTATATGGTACTTTGAAGCCTGATAATACCATTCTGACTGATCTGGTGACTGAATGTAATGTTTCTAAATTGGCCAGATGGTTCAAATATCACTTTGGGTACGGATATTTGTGAATGACAGATTTTAATAGGTGTTGATGTTTGAAAGTTCTCCAAAGCCACTAGTGTAACAGTGAAAATGAATTAAACAAATATGCTTTATTTTTATCTGTTTGCTTGCTCATCTCCAAGATGACACCAGTCTGAGTGAATATTTCTTAATGTATTCCCAATGAGTTGAAATTACTCAAACTGCTAGAATGCCTTTATTTCCTTCCTTAACATAAATATAAGCATAAAAACAATATATTTATGATATTTTATGGCACAATGTGAGTGTAATATTTATTTAACTTTTTCTAGTGCCTTCTTGCTTTATGAGATTTGTTTAATATGCCAATTATAAATTGGATCATGCTTGCAATAGGGACAACCAGAAGGTAAAAGACTGGCAGAAATTTTTCATTGAAGTTTTTTATAAAAAATATTGTATGCATCATACCAAGACTGTATCAGAAATGAAAAAATTTTAAAAAGAGCAAATTTATGATGATTTCAAGACAGTAAATGTTAATTATTGAAAAAATTGATGATAAGCATACAAACAATTTCCAAAAAAGTCAATATATTAAAAAAATCTTTTTACATTTTGTCCTTTCTTCATACTTCAGAGATATAACAGTCTTATAAATACACTGTTTTTTAATTGTATTGTCACCAGAGACAAGATTTTAATGTTTTGCATATTGAGGCAGAGGAGATCTTCCAAATAAAGATCTACTCCATCATAAGACTGTTATATCCAGAAGGTGTAAAGAATGGACAAAATGTAAAGACATTTTTTAATATATTGTCTTTTTAGAAATTGTTTGTGAATATTTAGAGTAACTGCTAATTATGTTTAATAGGACTTATCACAAGAATGAGTAACTGCCAACCCTCAAAACTATTATTAAATGGATATCAATAGAGACTATGACCTAATAAATGACCAAAGAAAGACAGGAAGACCCAAAAAAGTGTTTGACAAAATACGTATATATAAGACCAGAGACATTTTGGTCTAGATTAAAATAAAATGAACTATGTTGCAACAAATTGTATTAGACAACTAGTATATGTGCCCATTTAATTTATTTATTTAAAAAAGTTTCTCTGTGTTCTGTTTTCATAACTTTGTACTATTGATATAATTTCAATTATTGAACATGAAGACAAATAAAAACAAAGTTTAGAATGACACCAAAAATTGAACCAAACCACATCATACCATGCTACCATATTGAAATATAAAATTCAAATTACAATTTTTTTTTATTTTGCACTCTTTCTGCCCTATGGAGGGCCATTTCTCCATGCTCATCATATGTTTGGCTAGACTTCCAATGGGGTGAGTGACCAAGTAGTGAAGGACAGACATTCTGTGAAAATTTTCTGGGATTCATCTGCCCAGGATCAATTCCTGGTCTTACATTTTAACTGCCTTGGCCATCTAGCTGGACAAACTAAAACTAAAGCTAAAAAAATATTATTTCATCTGGTCATCTGCCATTTTCCCACCATGTGACGGAATGATATGCTTCTGTCTAAATAATAATCTTATTATACAGAATATTATAATGTCTGTATTTAATGTTTTAATATAATGTTATTTATATAATTTGTAAGTTTAATTATAAATTCAATTTTAAAATTATAAAACAATTACTCTTTACTTACTGGAGTTTTATCCACTGTTAGTTCTTCATTGCCATTTACATTTGGTAATAGGTTATCTGGCTGCATATCAGTAAATTCTTGAATATTTTCTTTTGCAAATTCAAATAAAGTGTAAGTCATTGCTGTATCCAGCAACATATTAGCCTGTTTAACAATATTTCAAAAATTAAACAAAAAATAATAATAATATGCATAGTTTAGAATTTATTTATATCTTATATATAATACATGAAACTATTAATTTATATTAACCATAATAAAATTATTACATATTTAACATTAATATTGCTTTTATATTTCAAAAGTTAGACATGATATTTTATCTTAATAGTATAAAATGAATAAAGAAAATAGAGTAAAAAAAATCTCTTCTAACTTTATTATTATTATTATTATTTTAAAGCTATTTCTTAGATTTTTATATATAATAAATTTTATCATAACTAAATATATTTTCCACAATAATCAAATGAACATGAAGCAAGACTGTGAACTATATTCTTTACAATATATTGTATATATGTGTACACATATACAAGTGAATAATTAAACTGAAGATCAAATCACAAACATACTATTAAAAATCTAGTGTAAATATAAAACATAATAAAATTAAAATGATCATGACTCATTTATCGCTTCATCATTTTAAACTTAGAATTTTTAACAAATATTAATCTAATCTTTCTTGAATTTACAATTTGCTTTTTACATCAAATATTACATTTATGTAATATATTAAAAACAAAAATTTTAATTAAGAATAATTTATTAAAAGTTAATAGTTTACTATATACATTCACTTTTCAATCTTTAGCTTTTGAAAGGAAGCAACATGTATAATTGGCTGCTTCAAATTTCTTTAAATATTCCATTATTCAGTTTTATTCTTTCAAATAGTTTTTAAACATTTCAGGTTTTATTTTTATATGAACTTAATATATTTATTCCTAAAGATGAATTGTTAAACTTAAAAACACTAACAAGGGGAGGTTATGTTGTGGTCCTCAGGTATTTCAATAATACTGTTTGTGTTAACAGACAGAAGTTCCAAAAACAAACTTTCAAAAAGAAAAAATGTACATTTTTAATAGAAAATAGACAGACAAAATGTATAAACTCATGTAATTTATGAATACAAAAATTTTACATAAAAATTGCATTGATTTGAAAAAGTTCACTCATCAAGACATGAGCCAGCAATCTTGCAAATATGAGTAAAAAAATACTACCTCAAACCATGTGATTTTCAATAAAAGTTCCATAAAATTTACTCATAAGTTACTTGGGATTTTTAATTTTCATTTTCTTGAACACATCTGAGAAATGTGCTTTCTCTTTTGCCCAACAAAGGTTCATACAAGGGCTTAGCCACACAACAATATCATCAAAATCCTGAGGACCGCATCATAACTTCTCCTTATATGAATAAAAAATACATGTGTATTTTATTTAACAAAATTTCAAATAGAGCAGGTATTTAGTTCATATATATAATTCAAAATTTCAGAGTTACTCCAAAATGTATAAAAGATGCTACAGAATTAAATGTAATGAGGAAATTATTGTAACTTAGCATAAAAATGTATAATTATCACGATTTACAAAATTTGACAACATATTTACAGTTTACACATTGGAGTGTATAAACAGAATAAATTAAATTACAATCAAACACTTTTAGCACATTTGTCTGTCATTAGGGTAAGCTTAGAACATCATTACCCTGGTATCACAGAATAAGTGTTAACAATATGAATGCAAATGTTTATACTGTGTTACCATGATAATGATATTCCTACTGTTTCCAGAGTAACAATGTTCCAAGTGTAACCTGATGATGGACAAATGCTCTAAAAGCATTTGATCATAATTAATTTATAAGTTTTGTGTTCCTTTAAAGCAATTTTCTCATTATATTATTTCAAAATGTTTATTGCTAAATAAATTTATATACATAAAAATTTAATATAATGTAAATAAACTACCTCTTTATTTAATCTTGAAATTATTAAGTTTTTGACTTCTGGAAGACTGAAAGTAAAAATAAATTTATTATTTATGATTTCAAATTGTTAATGTATTTGAAAATACTTTCAGAACATAGGAATTTATTAGATAAATACATTTTTAAATAATCCAAAATATTAAAGCACATACAAAGAAAAAAAAAATGTAAAATAAAAAAATATCAGCAGTTTATCAAATTAACGTTTGAAAGTTTAATCATATCAACTTTGGAGCATCGTTAATTTAACCACAAGCAATAAATAATTTTGTTAAAATGAGTGCAGGAAGACATGACATGCTAATGAACACAATTAGAAACCTAATTAGTTTAAGTGTGAAACAAATAAAAAAAATACAAGATATAAAATGATATCCCAAGATAACACTTGACAGAGATGCTATGTTTATTTTTAAACCATATAGATTGTGATTTTGTGATCAATTGTCCAGTCACATGATAGAGTGCTAGTGAGTAGAGTTGAAAGTAAACACGTTTTTAACCCTTTCGGTATTTTTAAGATGGTTGCTGTTAATCTTGTAAGAGAATTATTATGGCATACATTAATTTTAGCAGGTTACTAGATCCTTGCTTTTATCTGCCATAAAAGTAAATTTACCAATAGATCAGAAATGACAAAACTTATTTATTGTATTGCATGTACTGCCTGATTACACATTTCCAAGAAAAATAATCATGGTATCATGAGAAAATTGTCATTGTTAAGCTTTATTTTGTGCAGAATTCATCACCTGGCTCTTTGGACATCAAACATTGACTTCACATGCATATATTCTGAAAATATATCACAGGATTAAAAAATCTCTGAGCAAATGGAATATTTACTAACACATGGTTGATAGATGCCAAATTGTTATCAACACCAAACTATAACAATCTTGCTCACTCAGAACTCCAAGTGAATTGAGCATACTTGGAGTAATGTCACATCCAGTTTCTAAAGTAAATATATTTGAGATGCTAGGTATTTTCCAATCACGAAAGTAAATGCAACCTTAGTAGAATGGAAATCGAATTGTGTCGAAGAAAACGAGCAAGAGAATACAGTGACATTTGGTAAAGTGAATAAATCAATCAACTACCTGTAATTAATTAAACTTAATCAAAAAGTAATTACTATATTCAATTAAAACATAAATTTATTTGAAATTCAAAAAGTTAAATATTTTATTGACATTTTAATTTCAACAATTTATCCATCCATTCTTCCAATTTTGGTAAAAACATTTTCAAAACTTGAATCACACAATGTTTGATGGTGTATGATAAAAGTCCAAGGGGATGTGATATAAAGACTAAAATAAAAAATATCTCATTTTGAGTTTTGTTCTGGTTCCTAGATAAATTTATGTAGAGTTCATTGCCATCATTTTTTAAAACTGCTCTTGATAAATCAATAGTTTGTTAATAATGTTTTCCAGAAGCAGTTTCACAATATAATGTCAACTACTGTTCTTATAAATAAATCAAAATGAATACTTTTATATTAAAAATTATAAAAAGCATCATTAAATATGATAGCATTTCTATTTAACATTGAAAGATATTTTACAGAAATGAGTAAAAACAGCATGTTTGAATAGAAAAAAAAACAAACTGCTTTTCAGGTAATCAAAATGGGATTTTATTTAAAATATTTTTGGTCTTCAGTTTGACCAGCATCAGCCAACTATGACACACGAACCAATTAAAATCTGATTCTATTGCATAGCGAAGTGGAAGCATCAGTAATATCAAATGACTATCTACAGTATCTAACAACAATCATCCAAATAAAGTAGGAAATAGCTTGTACATTCATAACTCATTATATGCTGAGATAAAGAAGATTTCATTCTCTTGATAGTGGATATTTATGAAACAAATATAAACAATATGTCATTAGTGAATAATGAACTGATAATTTAGAACTAGGGACACTATAAAACTGTTCTATTTCAATAGAATTGAGGCAGAACATTGCATTTTTGTATTAAAATTTTTTAAATTAGTATTATTATATATAAATTACCTTTTTCTCCATATAGCCCAAATGCTGATACATGTTTGAATATGTATGAAGGACACGAGTGTTTTTATGGATGTGTATGTAAGAGTGAGAGAAAGTTGTCTGTGTGATCAGAAGAAAATGGTTGCTAGCCACATGAGAAGGCAATCCTTACATTTGTCAGCCATGGAAAGGTAATTCCTGCACTTGCTAGAAAGAAAGAGGCAATCCTTACATTTGCTTGGCATTGAGTGCTTTGTTCTTGTGTGTTGTTTGTTTTTGATATCCATTTTCCATTAGGTGTGCGCACAATGCTTTTTTTTATTTTTGTCTCCTTCATTCTATTAGGTGAACTCAACTGCATCAGAGAGATTAGACATTGTCACTTTCATCCCACTATATCTCAAAAATCAAGTCATGGACCCCTATTTTTTATTATATTTTTGGATTCCTCATCACAATTAATGGAAATGGCAAAGTTTAATCAAAACTGATTGATCAAATTTTGAGAATAAACACAATTCTGTATGCCGCGTAGAAGAGTCTTTGCTAACAATTCACATCAACTATCTGTATTTATGAGAAAATGGACGTAGAAAATATTGTGACAGATGCAGCATGATAAATTTAATATCACGCCAAAAAAACCTTTTAAATAACTTTTAATAATGTTTTAAAATTTAATTTAAACGTTACCAGTAATAAGACAAAAGAAAAATATTTAAATAGTTTTTATTGTAAATTTATTCCAATTTACTACAACATATTACTGTCATTTCTAATTCTACATTTTAATTTACTACATAATATTCATTGTTTTGTGAGAATAGTAAACATGGAATTGCTTATCAATTTTTTAATATATTTATGCTAAAACTCTGCATAATAAAAAGTGCATGAAGTGTTCCACAGGCTATTGATGATTTATCACAGTGACTGAGAATGTAATATATAACCGGTATTTTTGATTCATGATAGTAAATCACACCCTCACTATAAGCTGGTCACTACAAATCAAAATTTCAGACAGAATATCAAATAAATGTAATAATATTTTTAAAATAATAAAAAAAAAAAACCCTCTCATAATTAACAAATGTCAAATTAATTAAATTAATCATAGTAGTAATAATTTCATATACTTTTCAATACATTTATATAGCTTCAAAGTACTTACAGATGTTTATTATAAAAAGCATCTAAATTAATTATTGGAATTTCACTAGGATAATTTTCATTCCAAATTATTTCCAATAAGAAAGATTTTGAATCGTCTTCATTTTTCACCTAAAAAAAGTAATTTAATATAATATAATTTTTAGAACAGTTATTCTATTATTGATATATAGCAAAATATAACTAAAAAAGTATAAATATATTTAAGAATTAATGTATTTAAAACAGATAGAACAATTTTTATTAAATACTGTCCTTGAAATTTACTTTTCTGGATTGTATAGGCCAAGAAAGTTATATATAACAGAAGAAAAAATGACCCCCAAAGATTTTTACATTTTTGGACTTGGAATCTTGAAACATTGAGAAATACAGAAAAAAGTTGGGGTGTTTTTTTTTATTATAGATGTGTGTGTGTGTGTTGAGGATATAATTTTTTCATCTACTTTGAAGCTTAATAATTCCAGTACTTTTTGTTGAAAATTTCTGAAATTTTGCAGGGAGGTATGTGTATTAGGGAGAAATGTTTTTAGAAATTTTCAGGAAAATTGGACCATAGGTTTGAAAAATATGAAGGGGGTTCATATACCAAAAAACTTTTTAGTTATTAATTTTTTACTTCTACATCTCATAATAGATAGCACCACACAATTTTAATTTTTTGGCTACTGTCATAATGTCTTTTAAACTTAAAAGATTTTTTTTAAATGGAAATTTTTATCATAATTTAGCAAAATTATTCCTTTTAAGCTATTTTTATTACTTAAATTTTATGTATTAGTATAATTGAAAATTATTGGACTTCCTAATGATTCTGTTATTCCCCTGTTTGAGTGTTAAAGTCAAGCAAGAGCCCTTGCAAATTTTTTAATATAGCAATTTAAAATTAAAATTTTTAATTTAAAAGTTTTTACATCAAATGAAATTATAAAAATACAGCAAAAATCGAAATATAAATTAATCAGTGCAGTCGACCCCCCCTATAATACTGTTGATAATTCTGTTTTATATGAATTCCATGTTATACGAGTCACTTAGATTTTACAAATACGTGTGCTGGGCTGTGAACGGCTCATGTATTTGTAAAATCTAAGTGACTCGTACAACATGGAATTCATGTAAAACAGAATAATCAACAGTGTTATAGGGGGATCGACTGTAGTTTTGTTTATTAATAATTAGTGTAAATTGATTGATAGAAAAATAATTTTAAGCACAATTTATATACATTACAGTTCAACACTATCAGAAATTTGTAAATACTATTTATTTCTGTCTGTAAATACATTCTATATTTATACACTCTGCAGAGAAGTAAGGTCTTGATTATCTAGTCTAAACAGGGACTTCACTGGGCAAGATACCAAAAAAAGCTGGATAATATGGAACCATATGCAATATGAGCTGAATATGAAAATAGATATTTAGACAGATTCAGTCATCAAATAAAAATCTACAAAACTTCATTTAGTCATTATTCTTACATTTTTAACATGAAACTTAAATAAAATGAAATTGTTGCTAAATATTGCATGAAGAAAAATTTAAATGAAAAAGATTTATTTTGGAAAATTCAACAAAACTTGGTACTGTGTTTAAACAGCGGGAAACACAAACTGTTTATTTAAAATCAGATTTTATTGAAAACATTTTTCAGCATCAGCTAACTACATGTGACTAAAATGAAAGCTTTCCTATTTGCATTTTTCATGAACTACAGAGGGTGCTGCATTTTTACAAAATGGTTACTTTATCTGGGTCGTTTGTAACTAGTAATGTAAAATTAATCGTATATTACTGTCCAATATAATGATATATGCTGCTTGTAGCTGTTTATCGAGAAATTTTATATAAGGAGAACAATTATTGCTAGCGGGACATGTCATTATGTGGTATCGAAACAAATGAACGATATCGTTCTATACATATTTGTGACCTTTATGTTAAAAAACATCAGCTTTGACATTGTCCTATCAGGGTCGGATTTACAAGTAAAAAACTATGTAAGTTGTTGCTTAGGGCCTTGACTTTCAAGGGGCCTCAAACATTTGTACAAAAAAGAAAATTGAAGTCAAATTTTGTAATAAACATTTTTTTTACAAACCAACAAAATATACTTTACTTTTTATTTTATGTAATATTTCATTAACTTTTTTTTCTAAGAATTAACATAAAATCTTTTAAAAAAAATTGATAAAACCAATTAAAAAAAGATTTTTAATGAAATGGGTATAAAAATTTAATTAAATTCAGTTATAAAACAGAAGACTAGTGAAACCTCACATCTTTTTCTTACAATATCCATATTAAATCAGAGACATAGTCTGATTTAATTCTTTTCTTTTTATGATTGACTTCTAAAATTATGAAGGGTTAATAAGGGGCCTTACAGAATTCAGCTTAGGAATTCCAAATGCTTAAATTTGACTCTGTGTCCCACACAAAATTACTGGCATTTTAAACTTCAAGAAAATATGTTTTAAAATTGACAACATAACTCGTTCATATAAAGCTGGACAATCGAAAAACTGCCAATTCTTAACAGTCTAATCCACTCTTTCAGAATTTGGAGAAGTTCATAAATATAACTGATCGATTTCCAAATAATCATCTGTTTATCATGTGGGAATAGACGAAAACTTATATTAGGCTCCCGTAAGGCTTTGAAATTGCATTTAGAATGCAACAGAAAGCTTTGCTTTTTTTATTGCTATTCATCTTTACTGCTGATAATACGCAAGAACGAATCAAACGATCAAGATTGAATAGTTTTGTTTTTAAACACCAGAAGGCGAGCATCTGGTGAAAAATGCAAATAGCAAAATGGACTATAATATCTAAATACTACTGTCAGGTCCCATTTGTTCCTGGTGTGTTTAACCAGTTATAAATTTGGCAATAGGATAGAGGGTTAGCAAAAGTACAAATAAACAAAGATTACATTAAAACCAACAGCAATGGATAGGCTCAATATTGACATCTGACTATTGTGGACCCAGTCTACTGTAGAGTGCTCTTCATTTTTGGCCATTTATAGGTTGGATTATGCTAGCAAAATAGAGACAACAATTGTTTCACCAATTTTAATTACTTTATACAAACAGCTTATATATATCCTTCTAATCAATTCATTTTTTTAAAAAATTAAATTCTAACTAATGTGACCTTTCAGGTCGGCACCTCCTTAGTTCCCTGTTATAATTGACACCACCGTGTTTAGAGGAACACGGAAGCTGAGACGGCGATTACATCACACTGTCGCATGAACGGTCCCGTACGTGGACAGACGGATTCGTAAGGTTAACCGATGGAGAGACAACATAAGGGAAGTGACTCGAACTACAATTAACACTTAACAAGGATTTAATTGAAACTAAATTGGATAATGTCGCAGAGAGAGAGAGTTTACATAACGAGCACAAGTTGTATAAATACCTGGTGAAAAAAATTGGAGTTCTCGTTGGGTGATAATAAGTCCACAAGCACAAGAATGGCACAAGGTATCCAAAATGGGCACTGATCAATGGGCACTGATCAATGCGGTCGGAAGGACGGACGATGACTGACTGTTTTCAGCCATCTCTGGCAACATTCACCAACGATTTTGGCCGTGCAAAGGTTAATAGTTCACGAGAAAACATCATGTTGCCTTTGAGAAAATGTAATGGGAGACTTTCTCAGGTAGCTACGAACAACAATCGTTATGTCTCTCGAACAAGATTAATAATAAAGACCAGTTCCAATATAGGAATTTCCACCATCTCACATCACTCGGGCCTTTTGAAAATTGGGCTTGTTCGTGAAGGTGCAAGTTCGATTTTATATGGTGATATAAGAACATTAATAAGTTGGACTTTTACTCTCTCTCTTTTTACTGTTTACATGTTGGAAATAGGAGTACAAGTTATGAAAACAAAGATTACTATTGTTTATTTAATGACTAGTATACAAATTTAGGTTTCTCTCTCTCTCTCTCTCTCTACTTGTGTTACGCGGTTAAAATAAAACACACGGACACATGGTTAAAGGTAAATATCAATGTTGTTTTAATAAAGATAAACTTTGGTTACAAAAAAAAATCATATTGGTTATATAATACCTATAGTACTTATAACATGATTTGTATAGTAATACAAACGATATATAGGTGAAGGGATGAAGAAAAGTTATGAGGCTGAGTTTCTAGGATTGAAATGGTGGGAAGGACGGGAAGTGGAGTAGGATAAAGGAGAACGAAATATAGGAGTACAAATTGCATGTGGGATTACTTCCGAATGACTGGTGGGAGGGGTAGCTTTGATAGAGTTGAGGGATTTGGTGGATCCGATGGAGTCAAGATTATCAATTGGTTCAGGTCAAAGATGGCAATTGGCATCTTGGTCGAGTTGAGACAGTGCAGAATATCCAATAGGAAGGACTATGGCAACCGGAAGAAGAGATCTTGGTCGGTGAGAGCAAGCGAAACGAATAGCTGCTTGAAGAGTCTCGGCATTGACTTCATTATCATGGGTTATGGTAGATTCTTGACTGGTGTGGGTATTGCTGATTTCGTTATTATTATTCATCTACGGGGGAAATGTTCAGAATGAATTTAAAGCTATTAGAACTTTCAAAAAATTGCAAGAATTTGGAAGGAATTGTAAGAGAGGGTGTGGAAGAATGTGTAGGTGAGGGAGGAATTCCGTATTTCTCATGAATAACGGAGGTCCAACAAAGAGTACGATCTCCTTTCTTGAATTTGAGGTTATAGATAAACTTAGTATGGGAAATAGGATTGTCTATAAATTGAACGGTTATTATAAAAGATGGGTTTATAGGAGTACTTTTGGTAATAGTGATGAGAAATTGGTGAAGATGGCACTCAAGTACAGCAGCCCAGGTGCCCTCAGGTATTTGATGATTGACTCCTTGGAAAAAATGGATGATTGGGATAGAATAGGTATCTGGGGATGTCCTATTTGGAAGTGGGAAAGGACATGCATTCTAGCTCCTTCCCAGGTACAATTTAAAAGTGGAAAGGACATGGAAGAGGTTGGAAAAGACAAATTTCTTCGTGTTGTATGCGGCTGTCCTCGGGGAGTACTTCGGTACATCCAAAGGAGTGGAAAGCA